TCGCCCGCGCTAAGGCGCATCGACTATGATAGCGAGCGCGAAGTCATCCTAGCAGTCGATACTTCCAATATCGCTGTAGGATTTATCTTGCTGCAGATAGGCGAAGACGGAAAACGCTATCCAAATCGATTTGGCTCAATCGCGCTAAACGACGTGGAAAGGCGCTACTCTCAAGCGAAACTAGAACTCTTTGGACTCTTCCGCGCGTTGCGCGCGGTGCGCGTATACATCTTCGGGGTAAAGAATCTGACGGTGGAGGTAGACGCGAAGTATATCAAAGGTATGATCAATAATCCGGACTTGCAGCCTAACGCGACCATCAACCGATGGATCGCGGGTATCCTTTTATTTTCATTCAAACTCGTTCATGTATCCGCGCAAAAGCATAAAGGGGTCGATGGTCTCTCAAGGAGACCAGTCGCCGAGGACGATCCCATAGAGGACGATAATCATGAGGATTGGATTGATCGCGCATACTCGTTCGCTATCGCGCTTCTAAACGATCGCACGCATCGTATAGCTGGTGGTTCGGGTGACATACGCCATGAAGCGCATCGCACATGTTTCATCTCGCAGAGCGCGCGCGTACCAGCGTTGCGCGTATATTTTGATGTCGCACAGACTGAAGAACCAGAACCAGATATTCCGCGCTCGGACGCGGCGCGCGCGCAAGACGCGCTGATGACCACTATAGAACAGTTTCTTACCACGCGCGAAAGACCCACTGACGTTTCAGATGAAGAATTCGAGAAGTTCGTGAACAACGCGGCGCGTTATTTCGTTCTGGAAGGCAACCTATGGCGCAGAGCATCGCACGGCAAACACCAACTAGTGTTACCTCCAAACAAGCGCTATCGCGTTCTCAAGGAGGCGCATGACGACCTAGGGCACAAGGGTATCTATACCGTCAGCGCGCGCCTACGGCTACGCTTTTGGTGGCCGCGCATCATCGAAGACATCAAATGGTATGGACAAACGTGTCACGAATGCCAAGTTCGCCAAACGAGGAGGCTGCATATTCCTCCAATCGTCCCCATACCAGGAGGTCTATTTCGCAAAGCGCACATCGACACGATGAAGATGCCCAGGGCGGGCGGATATGAATACCTCGTGCAAGCGCGATGCGCGCTAACGTCGTATCCGGAATGGCGCATGCTGCGCAAAGAAAATACTAACGCGCTAACCGCTTTTATTTTCGAGGAGCTCTTGTGTAGGTGGGGCCCGATCACAGAAATAGTGACGGACAATGCGCCCGCATATAGGCTCGCAGTAGACGAACTCGCGCGCAAATACGGGATTCACCCGATCCGCATCTTGCCATATAATTCTCAGGCAAACGGTATAGTCGAAAGACGACACCGTGATGTCCGGGAGGCCATCATTAAAAGCTGCGACGGAGATGATTCTCGCTGGTATCAGGTAGTTCATTCAGTTTTCTGGGCCGAGCGCGTCACCATTCATAAAGCGACGGGTTTATCGCCCTATTTCATGATGCATGGCGTCGAGCCAATATTTCCCTTTGATCTTGCAGAAGCGACGTTCCTCGCGCCTTTACCAAGCCGAGGCGCGTTCACCACTACTGATCTTATAGCATGGCGCGCGCGCCAATTGCAGAAGCGCGTAGAAGATATTAACGCGATTAGGGATAAAGTAGTCGCGGCGCGCTACAAGTCCATACGCGATTTTGAGAGACGCTTCCGCGCGTCTATCAAATCGCACGACTTCGAACCCGGCGCTTTAGTGTTGGTACGCAACTCGAAAGTCGAATACGAGCTGAGCAAGAAGACGAAGCCACGCTATTTGGGACCTATGATCGTAGTGCGTCGCACGAAGGGAGGCTCATATATGTTGGCCGAGTTGGACGGCGCAATCTCAAAACTTCGCTTCGCCGCATTTCGCGTCATTCCTTACTACCCGCGTAGCGAGGAGCGCGTATCGGTAACCCAAATGACTGGAGTAGACGACAAGAGCATCGACGAACTAGAAGCGTATGAAACTGTAGAACCCGATGAAGACGAGCCCGAGCGCGCGCAAGACGGTTAGCGCGCGCGACCATATTCCGCGCGCCCGCGCATCACTGAATCATATTCGCGCGAACGCGCGCCCCTCAAAAACATAAAAACAAAAACACCAGATAATACGAAGAACACAAAAATATTCCATTAAGTACATACTCTCAGTTTTACCCCGGGTTTCGTCCGGTGATATCTCTCATATCATTTGTTCATATAACGCGCATTGCCTGCACATAAACCCCACAGACTCTAGAATATAACCAACGCACTAAGAAACACGCTAATACCCCGCAAGTACATACTGATCACTACCTTAATTGTATAGCGCGCGCATAATCACCTCATTAGACTTTCACTTTCTAACACGCGCGCGGCGCCGCGCACCTTTTTTTTCTCTAACTTTCATTCAAGCGCGCGCGCGTCATCGTTTCGACGCGCGCGGCGCAACACGGCAGGAATAGATGATGGAAGGCGCGCGAAGAAGACAAGACGGGCGCGCACCCCGCAGAAAATTCAGTAAAGTCCATTGCATTACCTTGATCTCGTTGCGCGCTTGTCATTTACTTACATACTTATCATTTTAATTTCTTAAGCCCAGTGAATCAGATAAGGACATGGACATGGACATGGCAACACAGGATACATTGTACAGGCGCATTGGCGCTCAAAAAGGAGTACACAGGCGCATTGGCGCTTAGGAGACAAGAAAAACAAAAGAGAAGTGCATCTACTTAAGGGAGTCGTTGATCTGCCTCTCCAGTTCAGCCCAAGCGTTAGACATAGCGAAAAACTTGTTGGAATAGTTGAGGAGGTCCGCCTGTTGGGCGCGCGCATACTGGCGCATCTGGAGAGTGGAAGTGCGCAAGTGCGCATTTTCCTCCTTCAAACGCGCGGCTTCGGCGCGCGCCTCCTTCAACTCCACCGCTGGATCCTTGAACTTGTCCTTTCCCTTAGGCGCAGAACCAGACGCCAAAGGACCAACGGCGCGCACGACCTTCTCCTCCACAGAGCGCTCCCCAACAATCTCCACATCCATCTCCGACTCCTCGGATTCTTCTTCATCCTCAACCGCAATAGAGGAAGCGGTTTCCTTTGCAGACTCTGCGATAGGGCGCTTGGGCATTGGTTTGCGCGGGCGCGCCTTAGGCGCATCAGTAAGGTTGCGCTTAGCTAATCCACAGCAGTCAGTGGCGCGCGCCAATGAAAGACAATAGGCGCGACTTACAGAAAGTGCAAGCGCGCTTGGAAACATCACAAGGAGGGCACCGTCGACCAGGCGCGCCTCCACAGTCAATGTCCTTGGCAATGCAGGCGCCACAGCGCCGCGCCTTGGTCACAGACATGCGCCCAACGCGCGGCTAGCGCAACCAAACGCGTTAATAGAGAGGCGCGCCAACAGGAAATAGAGAGGCGCACCTTTTTGCTGGCATCAGTACCAGACGCGTCAGTGGCGCGCGCATCGACTTCGGACGCGCCAGTGGCGCGCGCAGCTTGCATGGGAGGCGCCTGAGGAACTGACGCAATCGCCTTCGCCTTCCAATCTTTCACAACCGCCTCAATCTCCTTGCAACTCTTCCGCCCCTGCTTCAACAACTCCGCGCTCTTATCATCCATCTCCAGCGCCACCGCTAACACACCCGCGCGCGTGGAACAGCCGTTCAAGGTTGCCTAGAAATCTTAGGCTACAATAGATCTAGACATGTAAGCGCACTCACCAGCACAGAATACCACTCGCGCAACCACATCTCCTGATCCTCGAGGAGTTCCGCCTTGAGTTCAGGCGCGGACATCACGCATCCTTCCAGGGAAATGAGGATGGAGGCCCAAGCGGTCAAGAGGCGGTCGGTATCGGATTCCGCGCTAGCGTCGTGCATAGGCGCGTCCTCAGGAAGCCCTTGCGCCACTGGAACAGGCTCAGGGGAAGGAGTAGAGTTCAGCATAGCAACGTTGAAAGTAGGCATGATGAAAAACTGATAACAAAGAAGTCAAGAGATCGCGAGAACGCGTCCATCTTCTTATCAACATCTCCTCCGATTACATCATCGATGCTCGCGATCATCAAAGGACGGCCCTACTCTCGCGATCACCTGATCCCTGTCTATCACCACCTCTCTAAGTCCAAGATCCTGCGTTATAGCACTGAGTGGGGACACTCAGAATGTAAGTCCCCAGGAGATGTAGAGACTCGCGCGTCTCAATGACGAATATCCGGCCTTTAACCATACATTCCTATACATTACAGCTCTACTCCTAAGAACCAGTCTCGCGCGCGCCTTATCCGAACTCGCGCGCACTTACGCGCGCCTTACCTACGCACGCGCTATGCGCGCTTCGCGCGCGCGTTCGCGCGCCTCCTCATAGGTCTTCGCGCTATCGTCCGTCCATCCGTCCCATGTCCTTACTGATTCGCTGGTGCGTTATTTCTATCTTATCCATTGAACTAATAAAATCTTCGGTCCGACATCCGCGCTACTTATGGAAAGTTTATTTAAACTTAGTTATAATTAGAGTTGATATGGTTACTCGGTTCGGGAGCGCGCTCGGAAGCGCGCCTTCTCCATTCTTAAATACAGAAGGGTTTCCTTTAGTTCTGGTACTTACTTTTCCCTTATCTTTGTGTACTGGAAAGTGAATAGATCACCTCCCCACTTGTTATCTGATCATATCCTCCTGTCAATCCTCCACCTTTGCACTCACTCCTCAGTAAGATCTTGCCTCTAACGCTTTAGGCGCGCCTTCGCTTCGCGCGCGCGCATTCTCGGACCTCCCGCTCACGCGCGCATCTCGCGCGCCTTCGCCTCGCGCACGCGCGCCTTCGCGCGCGTTATCTTCTCGCGCCTATTAGCGCCCGCCTAGCTCACAGAGTTTCCCTCCACTTTATTTCGAGGAACTTCTCTCAGTGGTTGTCCTTTGGGTCGAGTCGTTGTCTCGTATCCCGGTCTTGCTGTTGAGCACCCCTTTTGTTTTAAGTGTTTTCACGTATAGTCAAGATTCCTCATCTACAGCGCGCTGGCTTATTCCAGAGGAGATTGTTGATTGCGGAACTGCCTCCGAGTCCTTTCCCCCTGTAAACAAGAACTATCAGTTGAAGTAGCGACGACTCTTCGGAGTCAAGCAGCACAAACTGACCTAGGCCAAGTGAATATTCTGTCTTTGGCGTGATGTTGTGTTTCCTTTGCACTGGTTAGTTGCGATTATGAGCCTGCAGTCGGAGATACTGACAGTTTTAAAGCTCCAGTCGTATTCAGGTTTGCCCACAAACAACCAACGTTGTTGAGGTATCACTAGACTTGATGTCAGGGATAATTCACGAGTATTCTGACAGACTGACGTAGATTGGCATCATCGATATGAGCACTGCCTGCCTCCAAGACAAGCACCAAAGTTGATGGGTTTTCTGACAAACATGTCGCTAAAATGAGACCAGTAGTCTAGGGGCGATCGGTCAGTTTTCAAGTTAAGAGCCGCAGATGCTCTTTCTTACTCCACCACCTGGAAGCAAGGTGAGTTACTCTACATCAGAAATTGATACAGAGCGCACCAATGATGATATAGTCGAAGACTTGTCCTTTGATTCCATCGACGGAGGTCAGCATTGTTCAGCTAGAAGGAGAAATAAGACTCAAAGCCGTTCTTATAGAGACAGGCGCTGAGAGGGATGCTACTAGTAGAACTGTGACTGGATATTGATCGATGATCACTGGGCGCATCTGCGCGAGAATATCTTGCTCATGGAGATGACAGAATTACAGTGACTAAGACCAACTACGCCTTTCAGCGGCGCTAAACACCGACCCAGTTCACGGAACTAGTGCACCCACATTACCAAAATAGCCATGGGATGTGGTGCTTGGTCTGATGAGAACATCCACAGGATGGCAAGTTGCGTGATAAGATCTTGAGATCTGGTAGGATCTCGACCCTATAATTACTAGATTCTAGAATGATATCGACTTGTCATGTTAGTTGATTAGTATCAAAGATCACCTGATATGAATGGCGACAAACCAGTACTAAATCTAGCAGCTTGCATCTTGAGCACTTGAGCTTCCGAATCAATGCACGCGGTGCCCCAAGACGGTCCGACAAGGATAAAAAAGGAGTGGATGAAACAAGAGAAGCTCCTTCCAGTAGGTCACGCATCTCTGATTGATCTGGATCTAAAATAGTAAGCCACTACCTACCGGAGTGTGCATAGATCGGGTGACAATGAGCTCCAAATCGTTCAACCACCCCTCATTAAGTCACTGAAGTTCACCGCCCTCGTGAGTAACTGTTCTGGCACGTTTGCGGAGTCACTCCCTTGAACGTTTATCGCCACTCTAAATTGTTCCTCCCCCCAACTCCTCCGCGCGCTTTCACCATCTTCCTCGTGTCTGTCACCCTCTCCCATACGTGTAGCATCTCCTCGACAATATGTCATATAAATCATGAAGCAACTTTTTAAAATTATCGTCTCTTTGATTTGCTGAGTGTAAGCCGCCTAATGTGGATGTAATATAAAATTGTAGCCTGAGTTAGCAGAAGGAAAATCCAGGATGGCAGTGGAATCACTGAAGAAAGAATAGGAGACCCGCACCAATAGAGGTACTAACTGACTTGATGAAGAGACAACGAGGCAGGGTTGATTGCGAGCGCGGCGATCAGGATCTGGCGATAGATCCTGGCGTGACGTACCGCCCAGTCTTGATGAGTGTTGTTCCAAAAAGGATCAACCGGCGGTTACGGCATGGCCAGGCTGCAGGTCCTAGGAAAGAGCGGAAGTGGGATTGGTGTCAAGGGTTATAGTGGGCAGGATCCAAAGCGTTCATGGGCACTACAGTTGGAAAAAAAATGGCAGAGGATGTTGTGCGCAAAGACCGCGAGCTCGACGAGTAGGACAACGAAGACATGTAATGACTAATCAGAGACTGAGGAGAAAAAAAACTAGTACACCCGGTCACAACCCGGTCATCGATCATCGATATCTTGCAGTTGCAGTGTTTAGCCACATCATCAAATCCGGTACTACTCTCAAATTGGAATCAAAATCAATGCAGCCGTATCAATCTCATAGCCCGAGCGCGCTCGGGCTACCGCCTGAGCATAAAAATAAGAACGCGACCCATTCAAGTTATTGTATGTCCGAAGATCGAAGATGTTCACATTAGGTCTCTGTTCATGTTTTTGTACGCTGGCTTTGGCGAGTTGGGCCTTTGCCAGATCCTGGCGCTTGCCTCTTCCCCCAGGTGATTGTTCAATGTTCCGTGCCGAACGCCCAAAGTGACACCAGTGATACAGGTCCACAAGGAAAGTTTTGGTTTGGAAACGAGGAGATATTGCCTTGGGAGCATCCATGGAAAGAGTTTGTTAACTGGTCCAAAATATTTGGCATGATCTCTTCCTCGACCGATAGCATCATGAGCTTATTGTTTTTAGGGCCATTAATATATCTTTATGCTTCTGGTCGGGACATCCTCATCGTCAACACCTGAGGCTCCCACGTTGTCAGGCCTGTTAGACGTACCACTGTGTCGGTGTGGTCGGTCTAAGTCGAGGCGCTTTGAGTGATTCCCTGCCAGTACGAATAATTGTGAATATTTATGGCCCTTTAAGCTTACCTGGCGACTAGTGTACGGTCAATTTGGAACTGTCCGAAATTCACAGGGTAAATTTACAATGCGCCCAGAGGCCTTCAAATTCACCACCGTGAATTACCGTAAATTAACATGTCTGTAAATTAACGCTATTTTACAGGTGAATCAGGTCAAATGTACTGTGAATTACGCCTCGACTTAGACCGGCCACACCGACAGTGGTACGTCTAACAGGCCTGACAACGTGGGAGCCTCAGGTGTAGAAGACCGCCTCCACAGAGCACTTCGTCAAACAGTTCTCCATCAAGGAAGTATCAAAGAAAATCGCATCAGCTGTGGACGAGTCTTTTTCACGCCAGCAGAAGGAATACTTTTTTTGTCCGCACCTGCCCCATACATCAAGGAAGACGAGGGGGGAGAGAGAAGCCCGCAGATGTAGCAAACTGAAAGCATGCGTTCAGATTACATTTCAGCTATCTAGAAATTATTATACAAAGACTTTGTCATGGTTCGTCATTGTAAACTGCACGGAATATGGAAATCATATGGGTCCTGTCACTCGAAGCGATCAGAGCTAGAACGCTCTCCGCAATAGCCTCCGCAGTTGAATTGTGCGCTACAATATCTCCCTCAGTCCTGATATGGCTACGATGAATGAGAAAGCGAAGAGTTGAACGATCCTTCCCAACAGCTTTCCAATAATCTGATGCATCAGTGGAATTCTCAAGTATTACCTCCGCTTCAGTCATCATAGTTTGGACAGTCTGATCATCTCCTGGACTCGGAGTTGACGTGGTCTTCTCGTCCTTCCACTCCCTCCAGTTCTTGTGGCCGCATATCATAGCCAGCTGATCGCGACCAGTGTCAAGGAGTACCCGACGACGGATCTTATTGATTGCGACTTTATCCTGTAAGGCCCAAACGTGAGTGTGAAAAGTAAGAAAGCAAATAATAGGACGAACACCCAATACAGCTCTATTAGTTTCATCCAATTGACTTCTCAGCTCTTTGAAGTCGTGCTTGAGCTGAGCATTCTTGTGCTTGAGCTGAGCATTGTCGAGCTTCAGCTGAGCATTGTCGTCCTTCAGCTGAGCATTGTCGAGCTTCAGCTGAGCATTCACCCGCCTCAGTTCTTCCACGTCGTGCTGCAGTCCAGCATTCACCTGCCTCAGCTCTTCCACGTCGTGCTGCAATCCAGCATTCACTTGCTGCAGTCCAGCATTCGCTTGCTTCAGCTCAGCAATGTCACGCCCAAATTTTTCCTCCATTGATGCGAGTCTACGAAGTATGTCATTATTGTTGTCAGCTGAAAATACAACTATTAGTCTGATCGCGATAAACCAAAGGGCACAAAAAACATACCCGGTTTGACATAACGCTCAGTGCTCTCCTCTCTAGCCAGTGGCGCAACATTTCATTGAGCCTTGACGTCGCATACTTCACGAATCGCAGATTGAAGAGCATCGACAAAGGGTGAGGGTGTCAAGTGCTGTCCTTCGGGGGGTTGTGGGTACACAACCATTGTAAGATCACCCTTCAGAGTGCGTATGACGGTGTTATCATCCCTTGGAACTGACCAAGTGTTCGTATCCACTGTAAATACGTGGGTAATAAGTGTATCGGTGACATACCTGGGTAAAAATCGGTACAATCGGGGTCTAGGGTGACAAGTGGCACACCGGGAAGTATCTTCAAGTGTTCCTTGATTGCCTCCATCCCCTCCTGCTTAGCGCGTGAAATGGTAAAACTGCCTGGTAAGCTGATAGATTTCTGTAACTTGGCTTCTGCATAAAGGACAACCATTAGCTTGTGATTGGAATCTTTGGGTGCCATCGTCTGGTAGTAAGATGGTGAATTCTGGCCGGAATTTGCCGGGAAGCTGATGCGTCTTGATTTCCACCGCTATGTGAACAAGGTAATTGATTTTGTAATGCGACCAGGAGCTTGTCGACGTGAATTCACTATCCACCGTCCGCACACAGCTCGTATACACCTCCATTCTACTACACAAAGACAGAGGCGTCAAGACCTACGCAGCATGCTATCTTGCCGACATACTCAGGCTATACGCGCCTTATATCCATACCGAGCTGAGGGACATCTTCCAATTCTTCTTCAGACAACTAGCAACCGGCTTGAGGGGCGCAGACGCATCATACTATAATGATAACACGCCGTACTGCGTGCTATGTTTTCTCACACACGATGCATTTAAGCAAGACTTGTACGCTCTCACCTGACTGTACCGACTGACCACACAACAGGAAAGCTCTATGTATATCTGGTTATAACATCGGTGGATCCTCTATGTGAGTGCTTTTCAATATGTGGAAACTGAACAGTGCACATATGCGCCATTCAAAGCACCATGGCACCTGCCGCCAATAACAAAACATCGTCTCCAAGCGCTGGCAAGAATTCAGATGCGCGTCGAAACCTCTACGTGCTCGGTCTGCCCTTTGATCTCACCAAGTGTGCCTACTTTTAGTCGTCACACCTTTCATGCTCACGAGTCACTAGGCCCGAATTTTCCGCCTTGTTTTCGCGTTTCAGTACTGTCATGCACGCTGTGATTCTCGCCACTGTCGATAACGCATCTCGCTGTCGCGGGTTCGTGGTAATGTCATCTCATGAGGAAGCCAAACGTGCAATGAGTGCGCTCTCGCGAACGCAAATAAAGTATTAGAGCATTTGCTTCGCGATTCAAGGCTCAACTTACTGACACGTCACAGAGGACACACCCTTGATGTATCTTGAGCCGTCGTACAACGTTCTCAAGGTGCGAGCTAAATCCAGTTGCAAGTACTCTACCTTATTTATCCCTTGTCACAGGCTTCCTAGATGACGCAGACAGGACGATGATGCTGGCATCCTCAAACCCTTCGTCACTTCCGGAAATGGAGTTCGATCACCAACCCGCACCTCCAACCATCAGTTCACCCCAATGCGCCTTCCTCGAAGTTGCTGGTATCGAACTTGCCGATTCTTCTCTTTGCTCAGGCCAGTGACTTGCATCGTCTGTTCTATACTTTCGGTCTCATCAAGGAGGTGAAGCTCATGGATTCTGCTATGCTCGGCAATGGAACCACAACCGCTCTAGTCGAATACGTGAATGTCTTCGATGCTCAGGAAGCCAAAGAGGCACTTCAACGACAGTTCTTTGGGACCTCACGCCTGGAAGTCCAATTCATCCAAGACAATATCTATCCGGTTAATTCTACTGCTGCCGCGTATGCCCAGTCTCCCATGCTACCGAAAACATCTGATGCCGGCCTTAATCCTTGTGCTGCTCCTTTCGTCTTTGGATCCCGCCACTTGCCACCCTTGGCTTCTGGTCTTAGCGCCGTTGCGCACGATTCATTTGTCAACGACCTCAATCTTGCCAATAGACCGTCTTTACATTGGCTAACTCCAGCCGAGTAGACCCTCTGCTCGCAGCTCTGAATCTTACCCAAACCTTATCTTGTCATCAAGGAGACCTTCGTCCGGGAGTACGCTTGTCGTGGAGGTAAGCTTCACCGCAGGGAAGCACGGGATCCTGTCAAGATTGATGTGAACAAGGCGAGTTGAGTTTGGGACTCTTGGTGCAAGCTGGTTTTCTCAAAATCACACCTGACCCGCCTGCTGCTGCTGTTCAGGATACTTCGTACGTTAGTTACGGCTCAACAGCGTATATGTTGATTTCTGTGATTGGCCGCTTCTTGTACGTCTATATGATTCAAGTCGTCCCCTTCACTGAGTGAATCATATTACAGCGGATGGATGTCGAATTTAACATCGACCCAGATGAATTCCAGGCTCGCAAGCGCAGACGAATGTCAACCATGACCACTTCCCTACCTCCACCACCCAAGGTAGCCCCAACCTCTGCTCCTGGGGTACACAAAATTGCCACCTTCCTCCCTGGTAGGCTTGAGTTCGAACACGAGCTCGATAATGAAGCGGAGGATCTTGTGAAGGATCTAGAATTCGGAATTTGTCATGCACGAGGTGGTGATCAGATTATGGAAGATGAGAACGGCCCGGATGTACGTGCCAGGGCACGAATGCAGGAAGAGCGCAAAACTGTTGCTGGTTCCAGGAACAGCAGTCAGCCACCCGTCAATGGTGTCAGTGGCAATGGACATCTTTCAATGAACGTATCAAGTTCAAAAGTAAGTCTTGCCAGGTCTATTGTTGTACTCGAGCACTTCCTCCAGATATTCTAGCGGCTTAACGCAAGTCATCATACTCGAGATCATTCACATCTTCAACCGCCAGGCAGAGATCGTCAAGCTGAGTACGTATCTCTCTGTTCTCGACCTGTTATATATGTTCAATGTTTACCGTGTAGTCCGCACGCTTCTTAACTGCTTCAACTCCACCATTTTCCATTTTTTTTATTTTTATTGTAGCTCGCAATTGCGCAGTGACACTTGCAACCCACTTACTTCCCTGGGTTCGCATTCTCTTGGCTCTGCCTTGTTTCACATCGACTCTTCATGCCAAAATTGCTACTATCCGACACCCGCGAGGTGAGATTTGCCCTTCAATTTTGGAGGAACTTCTTTTGACTTTTTCCCGTCAGTGCTGGTCTGCGTTCCACAAGCTCCTTCTTTTCTCCTTCAAGTTTCTGGCTCGATGCTAATCTCCAACTCGCATCTCGTAATTTTTATTGCGGCTCCCTCTGACTCCTCCCTGTCCTTCTTCATGATTTCCCGGAGTTCCTTAGCGAGTACTACTTTAGTCTCTGCGATGCCATTCCTCCGCGTTGCATCCAGCTTCGCAACATCATCCTCAGCGCGTTCCCTATGTCTATCATCCTTCCTGACCCTCATCTACACAAATTTGACTCGATTCCCGAAATGGGACCAATACCACCCGTTCTATCAGACTTTGCTTCATGTCTCAAAAGCGCTGACCTCCGCAACAACCTCTATCAATACCTCCTTAATTGTGGAACCCCTTCATTCCTCACAACACTCTAAAATCCCTTGAGCCTGCCCGACGTGCCAGAGGGTTCATCCGAGTTGTACAACCTGTCACTAATAAATTCCCTAGGGCATTGGGCCTTTGCACGAAAGATGCATCCGCACCCAATCATATGGATAGTCATGATATCCCTGACACTTTGATACTCTTTGCTTTGAAATAACCAAAGTAAACTCCATTAATGCTGTCAAGTCTTTCTAGATAATCTGCTCAACTCTTCACTTCAAATTAACCAAAGTAAACTCCATTAATGCTGTCATAAGTCTTTCTAGATAATCCGCTCATCTCTCTGCCTCGAAATAACCAAAGTAAACTCCATTAATACTGTCGTCAAGTCTTTCTAGATAATCCGCTCAACTCTTCGCTTCAAGATAACCAAAGTAAACTCCATTAATGCTGTCGTAAGTCTTTCTAGATAATCCGCTCATCTCTCTGCCTCAAAATAACCAAAGTAAACTCCATTAATACTGTCGTCAAGTCTTTCTAGATAATCCGCTCAAGCTCGTTCATACCGACTCCATTCTTCCATCCCTCCCTAGTATCTCACTCCATGGGCATAATACTCAGCTCCCTTCTCCCATATAGCCCAGATTTGATGTCAACAAGGTGTCTCTGCACAAGCCTAGCAGAGTAGCGACTTTTTAAATGGCACTACCTCCACTTCCCTTGCCACTTCTTTGTTACATTTTATTTTCTCAACTACTAGTCTGCTACTAATCTTAGTGTACACCTACCAACCCTCCAGGTCAACCAGGAAACTTCTCGCAGCTACTACCAGGGCAGCAGAGGCCCAGCGGCCCTCCAAGACCAAATGGCGCTGCACCTCCATTCCAATCCCCAACAATGTCTCACTCTCCCAAGACCAAATGGTGCTGCGCCTCCATTCCAATCCCCAACAATGTCTCACTCTCCCAAGACCAAATGGCGCTGCGCCTCCATTCCAATCCCCAACAATGTCTCACTCTCCCAAGACCAAATGGTGCTGCGCCTCCATTCCAATCCCCAACGATGTCTCACTCTCGCCATATTACAGGAGGCAACCCTGGCTCTGGACCACCATAAAACCCATACCCGCTGTGCAGGTCTCACTATAGACGATTCCAGGGGAGCGCTGACATAGAATAGAACAACCAATTTATGTATTATTGTGCTAGATACAAAATACTAGAAATGAACTCTTAATATCGACAGGCATTGCTATGTTGTGCACTTGGTCACCAGATAACCTACAAAAGGCTTGTCTAGATATGCGCAACCTTCCAGGTTGGCTCACCTACAAAAGGCTGGCCAACTTGGGAGTCAGGGACAGCGCCGTTACGAGGATAATGGAGGGATGTGGGCAGAAGGGAAGCAGATGAGTGAAGGAATGCATTGAGGGTTATATACAGCTGGCTGATGCCATCACAAATAAACTGAACCGAACATCATAGGTCGGTCTGGGGTCCTTTCCTTGTGAATTATGTGAGGGATGTCCGTACCTTGTTTCCTCAGGGTTTGATGGAGCCGAGTAACGTCCGAGTGATAACAGGGTACCGGAAACCCCAATTGCAAGTTGACAAGGGTTCGCGAACTTCGAACACGAGGCAAGCAGTGGCTGTATCATGATCATGTAATTATACAAGGAATGCGGTCACCCTGTTTCATGTCTGCTCCTTACATCTCATTGCTCCCAGCACTTTGGACAGCTATCACTATATATTCGGAGAGGAAATTGACAGCACACATGATAACGTTGCTCTGAGGTCGTGGACGTCACAATTAGTGTGTTATGGCATGTTGATAGACGTGAGGACAAACTAGTACTTAGCGGCATTGTTGACGGTCAGATTATGAACCATAAATTGCTGCTAAGCGGCGCTGGTTACCGACTTGAATCCCGTACTTTCATAGGACTATGGATTGTCCTCCCTCAACCTGTACCGTCAATACAACATTTACAATAATCAAAGCAGATCCTTCAGACCTGCCGACTAATTTATTTCCGAAGTCCGTTTACCATTTGCTTGGCGATGGCTCCCTCGTAGCACCCCCGTTCTTTGACGACCTTTCCACTACGCATCTTGCTCTCGTCATCATGGCGTCCCTCTTTACTGTATTCGTAAGGAATACAACTCTATCAGCTGCATTCTTATGGTCAGGTGGAGTTCGCAAGAAAAGTCTTTTATACACTCTATTCCTCAGTCAACTTCTCGCACCTATCTCCATCCTGTCTATGCTTATCGCCCAATTTCACCCTAATTTCGATTGCAAAATGTTTGTCAATCCTATCTTTCAAATACTAACACCTCGTTGATTTTATATGTAATCAGAATCATGCGCATCGCAGTCGCTAGCGCAGGAATATCCTTTTCTTTATTGGTACGCTTCAAAGATTTTATTCATTATTTATTCATGCCCAATCTCTACATAACATAGATATCCGGCACTCTAGGCGTAAAGGCTTACCGATGCCTAGACAACTCTCGCTTAGTTCTAGTCATCTTGGTCATACTAAGGACTGCTGCAATCATTTTCCTTGCTCTTGATCTGGCATTGCTTAACAGTTATCGCAGTCTTGCAGGTGCCTCTTCTGACTCTCATCCACTTTCATTTGCTAATTTTTTTTAAAAAACAGGCCGCTGCTACCGAACATCTAATTCCATGTCATATACTTTCATAATACTTTTATTTGTCGAATCGCTATTCGTCTGTCTGTGCTGTGAGTCCAAACTTATTACATTACCCAATGAGACTCATCATCACAGTTCTCTATGCTGTTCGGAAGTCACTCGGTTCCGTCCAGGGTAGAATTACTGTATCACTCTCTCTTGACGATGTCGCAGATTCCCATCTAGACATCCAAAAAGAGAGCATCAAGCATTACGAGACCGCTCACAGCCGCCGTGACAGGTGGGATTATGTTCCTACTGTAAATTATCCTGCTCTATTCACCTGCAGATCCCGTAGAACTCAGTCTCTCTCCTATGACCCAAGTATTCCCATGGGTGGTCTTTCCAGGAGTGAAAGAGTGCATGATCCGGAGAATGTGCCCTCTAGATTGCCCATCCCACCGCTGGCTACAAAATCCCCTCTCGCTGGCACATCCCCAATTCCTCGCCGGCCATCTTCTCCTGCCGTCTCATCCATAAGTCGCATGAGTCAATATATGCCTCGAGTAGCGTTGTTCAGAGAAGTGATGAGAGATGAAGTAAGCGAGTCTCTTTGGTTAAAGTGTTCCAGCCTCACGCACTTATTCAGTTATTCTACACCACCTTTATCACTGCTTCCACCGTCGTTTCCGTCATAATGACTATAGTCGGTGTTAATAGCGTGGGCCCGGCTGATCATGTAGCTTGGATGGCCTTTGACTGTGAGTTATCTCCACTAAATTAACATCCAGTGTTTTGGAAACTCACATTGATGTAGGGGCCTTCATTTCGTGTCTTGTAATGCACAGTTTTGGTCGTGTCATCCGCCGCCATGAAAACGAAGCTTTGTTACAGCAGCCTAGTGTTTGGCATCGCAGTTTGCGTACGGACCACAGTACTGCAGATATTTCAGCGGAGGGAAGGGTAAGATCTCCTAGGCCTTCGTTTGCTGATGATGGTTTACCTCCACGTCCGGATCCAAAGGATCAACCTGCATATGACAAGGCAAGTTTGTCTGATGCGGAATTTGCAATTGACCCTCCCTCCCGCACCTGCTTTCCTCACTGCAATCGACACAGTGCATGACCCACACTCGTTCCTGCCTCTTGATCAAACCAACTTGGACTTTTAAGACACGTATTATATCGCGGACTGACGAATAATATAGCATATATCGCACATATTGTACATACCAAGTATCTGCATTTGAAGACAATTATTTTGGGAAATCGAGTCTTTTCAGCACTGCACTTTCTAGACGTTGCCCGCACAAATAAAGCATTCACTCAAGTATTCAAAATAACGTTTATTTTTCCCTCGACATGTGGAGTTAGGGTTGTTCCGCGTGGATGTGGGGGAGGTGACAGGTCATTCGTGGCGAGAGTCTGCAGTTGGGTGCTTGGAGGCCGGATGTGAGGGAGGTTGTACCCTCCATCGGGTGTAGAGCTGCAAATGGATCATCTGGTGCCGTTACTACGTCGAGTCTTGAACCCATGCTAATGCGGTCGCGCCTCGTTTGCTAGCCTCGCAAATTGGATCTTGGATGTCAAATATAGCACTGGTTGCATACTCGGGCACAAAACCAACGTTCGAAGTAGACTGTAGATTTTGTGTGACTTTTACCAGTCCGACGTTGCCATTATCGGTGGAGAAGGCCAGTAAGGATTTGCCTTCGCTGTGTTAAAGAGCCCGTTCGTGCGATAGACACGAGAAAGCTTACAATGACCGACAGCGTGAGTAATCCAAGGTCCCCAGCTCAAATGCGTGATCCAGTGATCGCTCAATGGTTCTGTATGCATATGGATGTACGAGAGGAAACCTCCTGAGTTGCTGTTTCTGTTAAACCTGCACACAGTAAGATGGACGTATTTCCAAAAAGATCCGAATTTACGCACCTGAAAAAACTCAATACTTGGGGGAGGAGCGACGATGATAATGACCTAGAAAACCAATCTCAGATTGATATCATGTAGATTCTACTGTCGTACTTACAGATGGTATCAAGTGGATGATCAATTCCGGAAGTGGGGACTTTCCTGTGGGCCAATTTGAAGCCCAGAATTTGTTCCCGAATGGTAAGGGTATCCCTTCCTTTGCGAGCTCTGTGATTGAAGCATAAGCTATGTAGGACTACGATGTTTGGTATGACGGACCTTGATTTACTCGCGACGCAGCAAAAGTCTAGATGAAAAGTTCTTGTGCCAATACATGTCAACAGTATCCCTCAACTTACCACAGTAATAACGTTCTATGGGCCACCATCAGACGGAGATCATGATATAAGATATAGGACTCACTCCAAGAGCACTGATATGAAGACAATAAGTCAGGAAACCATCAGACGTCGAACTCACCTGAGAGCAATGAAAACTGATAGCGCACGCTCCGCAGTAGAACTAAAGACATTCCCGAAAAACAAAGCAGCAACAGTAACGCCAGACTTGTCGATCTCCGTCTGTCGATACTATTCAGTATTTCATTCGTGGTACACACAAAACAAGTTCTTACCTTGGTTGCAGCCGCGAAACAAGCCACATTTGCAAGCAAATACAAAACGGCGCATATACCAAGACCGAGCGGGCCTGCGATCTTGAGCGTCCTCACTGGATCACGGACGTTGTTCATCATGTAATTCACGTCGTAATTCACGTCGTAATTCACGTTAGACCATCCCGCATATGCGTTCAGGACTTTAAAGGTGGCGGTAGCATACTGTGAAGACTACACTCAACATATGGACATCTTAGGATAGCATTGAACGCACCTCGTAACTGCTCATGGAGCTCTCCGCGAACGCGTTTCTGAAATTATAGTGCGGATCCGTGACGCGGGTCTTGCCCGAGAGGACTACCCAGCCTGTAACCACGACGAATGCCAGAATTACAATTTTGATTGAGAGTAACTGGAAGGAAGATGTTGAATATGATGATGGTGTAAAGATGAAAGCTTGCATACGTTCATGATAAAGACGCCGGTCTTTGGGGTTAATCCATGTAGAAGGGTTACGAAGAAGATGACTAGAGTCCATGAAATGACCGTAACATATCAGTTAGGTAGGAGACCATACCTCCAAGTGCAATTCCACGCTCATTCCATTGACCTGCGATTTGGTCACACTTGCTAGCAAAAACCTTGATGAAGCAGTTAAGTTTTAACACCGAATATCCATCCAAACCGAGAGATGACTCACGATACAGCCACTTGCAGTGAATCCAAGTAATATAGCATTGGCAGCGAAGACTATGGTGGCGAGGTACTTGGATTTTCTGTAGACGTCTTCAAGGTATACCTTCTCTCCACCACTGCGAGGGAACATGGTGCCGAACTCGAGCCATATCAAGAGGCCACAGCTAAGCAAGAAACTGAGGACCTAGAGCATGAGGGAGGCACCAACTGAGCCCACGCCAGAGAGGATGGAGGACGGCGTTGAGAATATACCGGTGCCGATGATCCGTCCGACGATAAGGAGAGTGCAAGAAGTCACACCAAGGCGACAACCGAGGCCTCCAGCGGTATCTGGATGGTGTCAGACGAGTAAGTTGAAGGAATAGTGAGCAACCACACCTTCTTCAAAAGTCAGTTCTCCAGGATTGAGGTCAGTATCATCATTTGGCTCCTTCTGAATTCTCTGATCCTTTTTGCTGAGCTCAGATAGTATGGTCCTCTTCCTGGTTCTTGCTTGATCGCGACCACCAACGAGTAGACATTCCTGTAGATGAGGTGGGAGATGTGGACACAGGATATCAGGGTATATGAAGGGCGCCTGATAATGGCGCAATACGTCCACATGTTGGGAATACCGTAATGCGTGGTGAGCGCACAAGTACAAAAGGCAAGTAGGCTATCAAATTGATCCAAACGAGTTTCTAATTTTGAAATCGGAATAAGCAACGTTCCGGACTGGCGCGAGCGCCGTTACGATTATGTAAGACGGCAGGCAGACCTTTGGCGGCTGATAAGACCTCCCCCGGTAACTCCCAGGTAACGCTGACAAAGACTTGACACAGACCCTAGACAGACGTCTGCGCAGACCTCACACAGACTTCCCAATACCCTGACTTTCTGGAAATTAGTCTTCAGTGCCGCAGTTCAAGACAAGAATAACCGAGCGAGTTTATATTAATTGTGTAAAGTCCTTCAAGGCACTGATGCAGAGTCCAGAGCATGCGGCCGGCAACAAGCAAGTTGTGTCTTTCCAATCCTTTGCATCCGAGCACGAAGGACACAACGCGAAGCGTAAACCACGCCGCAAACGCCGGGCGCAATGGCATGCTAGCCAGGAAGATTTAACTTCTCTTCTTGGCCAAGTAATTCACGAGTTCACAAGAGAGCATCAAAAGCCCCTCCGTCTTCTAGCTCCGCCACCACAGAGTGGTGTATACCAGTCTTACCATATGATCCTAACGCCGACACGGCACATCTTAGAGGGTCCTCTTCCAGATCAATCCAATAGTGTCTTGCGCAAATACAATAATCACGAATGCTTCCTACGCGTTACTTTTCAGGACGAGAATCGATCAAAGCTTCGTCGGGACTTCGAATCTTCCATTAACGACCTTCTGAAGGAGCGGTATCGTCCAATTCTGCTCAGAGGCTATCGCGTTGCTGGACGCCAATTCCAGTTCTTGGGATATTCGATGAGCGGCCTGCGAGATCATTCAGTGTGGTTTATGACACCCTTCACAGATGACAGCGGGACACTGCTGGATGCAGAATCAATCCGGGGCAACCTGGTGAGTCGCTAATGGTCCTGATTGATTTTGACCGAACGCAATTGCTAGGGCGATTTCTCTCAACTTGTGCACCAACCCGCTCGCTTGGCTGCAAGATGGTCTCAAGCCTTTTCTGGCACCGATCTGTCGATAACACTTACTCCCGAAGAAATCGATTATGACTATCCCGACAGAATAACGGTGGTGCTAAAGGTATGGTCGTCCAGGATCCGACAATCGAAGGCAAACTTGTTCGCCTCCGTCCATCACAGATTAACTTTGATGTCCAATCGACATCAGCGAAACCAAAAGCGATGTTCCTCAATCGTCCGCTCATTGTACTTATGGAGTTCCTGGGAGTGGAGACCAGTCGAATCATTGACTTGCAGGACGATGCAATCACTAAAGCTCAATCCGTCTGATCATCATTCCTCGATGCCTCGAAAGTTATCCAGCAACACGGACTGGGAGCATCGTTCCATCTACCATCTCTCTTCAGAAACCTGTCGTCCATTTTGCAGCTGGATGTTGGAAATACGGAGGAAGAAACATCTCAGTCACGATGGACAAGTGAGCTAATAGAAAGTATCCTGCATTGCGTCGAAACGCACATCTTGCGGGAGTTGAAGTACCGCACGCACATAGAAGTGCCGGGTTCATATACCTTGCTTGGTGTGTCCGATGAATGGAGCTGCCTCAGGGAAGGAGAAGTCTACACAGCCGTGTACGATGAAAGGACAGGATTGAACAAACAAATCCTGGGCAAGGCCGCCATAACGCGCAGCCCGCAGATTCATCCAGGCGATCTGCAAGTCGTGACGGCTGTTGACCGCCCAGAGTTGGCGCACCTGAAGAATGTCGTTGTGTTCTCTTGCGAGTGAGTTCTGTTTGATGGCTTATGACAAATGCATGTTCATATTGTCGACAGGGGTCAGCGAGCACTTGCGTCGTGTCTGGGTGGGGGTGATCTTGATGGCGACGACTTCAACCTAATCCTTGATGTAAGCCCGATTTTCCTAATACATTCTGCATGTTCTGAACATTCTGCAGCCGAAGCTGCTGCCAACGCATTACGGCGAACCTGGAGAGTATCAGGCATTACCCATTAAAAGAACAGAAGCCCCATGTGACATCTCCGATGTCGTAGATTTCGTATTTGACTATGTGAGGCTCATTCAGACTTTTAATACATGCAAAATTAATTATGAAATGTAGATCGAGGCGCACCTCGTCGGTCTCATCGCCATACACCATCTCAGGTTTTCTGACCTGGAGGATCCAGGTTGCGCGGAGTGCATGGAACTCGCGAAATTGGCCTCTCACGCAGTCGATTTTCCGAAGAGTGGCACTCCCGTCAATTTTACTCAACTTCCGAGGTTCAAGTCGAGGAATCAGCCAAAGCCTGATTTTCTTGCCAAAGAAGGCGCCGATCTTAACAGTGACCAATACTACAACAGTAAAAAGCTGCTCGGACAACTCTACCGTCGGGTACCAGTGAAGAGGTGGATTCCTCAAGAATGGAACGAGGACCGCTCTCCATCTGATGGAGCCTCTGTGGAAGACGCGCTCTCTCGCGTGGGCCTCCGTAACCTTGGTCTTTTGGGATTGACTCCTCCAACTCAAGAGTTAATCGAGGAGATGACATATCTACTCGAAGCATATTGTGAGCAGCTGTTGGTGATCGGGCAATCGCACACCATTTTGAAAAACAAGGACAGCCACGTTTCTGAAGCAGAATTGCTGAGCGGGACTATTATGGCAAATTGGTCTGATCATCGTCGTCGGCGAGACGCAGTCACTGCAATGAACTTGCAGGTAAGCTTAGTGCTCAAACATGACATGTACCACAAGCTCCTAAACGATAATTTCAGACACGTGAACTCGTCCGTGTGGTCAGGGCAGAGCTCCTGGTTAAAGATTTGGCGGTGTCGGAAGCAGAGATGTATCCTGATGAAGAGGATGATTATGATAATTGGACCTTCCGCGAAGAATTTGATGATACAGAACAACGAAGTATGGCAGAGACGTTCAAATGCTCTTGGGCAGCGTGGTGCGTCGCGGAAGATACCCTTAAGGAAGAATCGAGGATGTTTGGAGCCCAGAGCTTTGGTTTAATCGCTCTGGGCAGGATGCTCGAGATTGTGAAGGAGTCTCTTATGATGTAAAGGATCGAGCGCCAGAAGTTGGCCTTCATACCAGTGCACTGTAACGAAATTGTATACCATAGGAACCCAGAGGAGCTCATGAAATGATAAAAGTTGTGCAAAATTGAAAGCGTCAGAGCGGGGGATTGTAACGAGATTCTGAGCGCGGTCATGCGGGTTTGAATTCATGGTATACCAAAAGAACGCAATTAGAAGGACTTCAATATTCAATTTTCAAGGACACATTACAACTTGAGATATGCATGACCTGATTTCGAAATATGTAACCTACAATAGCAAGAAAAATTACTCGGCGAAGCGAAATAATGAGTGGCAAGATATGATCACGCATCCAAGAGCTCCCTTGGCATGTCCACGAGAGCAGCAGCCCCATTTCCAATCAGTGCAAGCTGCGTGAGAGATGCTGCAGTATGGCGGTATATCCTCTCCAAGGCCGGATGAGCAGGACGCCCTTGCGACACTACGGGAAAAGTGAGAATATAATCGAGTCAACTTGAGAACAAACTCACGCAAAATAGCCTGGTTCACTTCCGTTGCAAGACTGACTCTTGCTCCCTGCCCAGCCACGTCTGCTGCATCCCCGCCGGCCTCAAGCGGATCCTCGAAAGCCACGATCATGCTTGTGCGCTTAAAGATGGCGCGCATCTCCGGGCGGTCTTTGTACTCTGACTGCAACTCCTGTCCGTACGCAACCGCACGTTCGAGAGCGGTCCCAGGTGCGATCGTAAGTGTTTGGGGCATGTCGTCCATATCCATGATCTGATCATGGTCAGACACGCGACTCGTGGAAGATGAAGGGAACGTCTTCGACAATCTTAATGTCGACATTCCTCCTCGAGCGGAACACTGCGCCTGTTATATGTGTTCCGGCATCCGCGCCCCCGTAGACGTCCCTGTCGCTATAATCAGGACAGCTGTCGTCTCACCCATCTTCTCCACCTCTCCACCCATTCACACGTGCACAGGACCAAGCTGTCAAAGCCACCGAGGCGCATGCACTGGAAGCTGAAGTCGCCCGGCTGTGTATGACGAACGTGTGCGTAATTACGAGGAGCGGTACGTGGCGTGTTATTTATGTAGGTTGGTGTTTGGCAAGTGCACGATGCTGATTGAGGTGCAGTGAATAGGATTTTCAGCGCCAGGTTGCACTATATAGGGACCAAGTGCGCGACCTCCGACTTTCAAACGAATCGAATCAGGCGAAGCTTTTTGATCACAGCCAGCGTCAGGGTGAATTGTACTGCTTTCCTTCCTCCACTTCCTTCTTTCTGCTTCATTATTGTACCTTTCGTCTTGCATGCTGACACTTCTATTCAGACCAAGAGATCATTTCCCGTCTTGCAGAAGCTGACATGATCATGGTCGACCTGGAACGCGCGAATAGCAGAGTTGCGACTGTTGAGTTGCAAAATGTAAGTTTTGCCCGCTTCAATCCCTTGATCATCAATTCGCTGTTGTTCCATACCATTTGTCTTGCATGGATATTTAGCTACCACACAATGTCAGATATTCTATCCTATGGGTTGACGTATAGCCACCTTGTTGCTATGCACACATTTTACCCTTCCTTCCTGTTACCGCGCCCTCTCCATATCTTTAATCCTTTTGAAATGCAATTGATACTGACTTCTCCCACAGGAAGCACTCCGTGGAGAGATCAAGACATTGCGCACTGGCAGCGAAAGCAGTGAGCGGTACGTCTGTTTCTCACCTTTCCTTCCACTTCAGCCTCCGCCCATTCTTTCTGTGTACTTTTCTTATACTTACGTGTACACGTATCAACAGCGTCAGATCTCTAACATAGCTCTGTAATACCTCTGATACCTTCCTGCAACTCTGCAATGGACCTATAGGTCTCAAGCTCATTGAGCACAAGAACCACTCGTCTGTAGCGGCTGGTCGTGAGGGTGCTTCTGAGCTTCAGGCCAAGCTCACCTTGTCTACCCAAGCATTGACACGCGATGGGAGGGCCTCCCGAGCAAATTTGAGAAGGGGAAGGAGATGGCATGACGTGAGTGCAGTCTTGGCATGTTGAAGAGCCGGTTCTAACGACGAGAGCTGGTCATAGAATTCAGGACGAGCGGTATAGAAGGCTGGGCTCATAGGACGCGGTTTTTTGCGTTGGCGTTGGCAGTAATCGAAGTGGTCGAGGGAAGCAGGGGGAATAAACGGCCTTGTGGTCTGTGTCGAGTAAAGTTGAAAGTTAGGCTGGTCTGTCGCGAACTGGCCTTTCATAAGCTGGCCCACCTCATCTCTGATTAGAATTGCAGAATCGGTAAGACTGACATTGAAGTCCAACATGCTATTCCGGGTTAACTGCCTCAAGGACATTTAGACGACGCAGGACGCAATACATGGAAGCTGACGAGTTCACTCCCTTCCCCAGCCATTTCTCACACTCTACTTGATTCACGCTGGTCCACACATTCGAGTGCTTGCGACTGACGAGGGAAATCACGTATCCGATGACGGATTCTAGGTCAGATTGACCTCGAGAATTTTGTAGCTCAGTACGTGGTGCTCGTATAATCCATCCTAGTTGCAGCGCTCCATCTGACAATATCCAGGCCATATATATTCAACGCGCAATATCCAATACTTGTTATCTGGAAGATCGCACATGTATGAGCTCTTCTTCTCGATCGGAACCGAACTGATACTGTTGTATAGATGCATCCATACGCACAATTTCCGCCGAGTGTGTTATTACACACATCCAAAGTACGTCTATCTCGTCCCGGGTTCTTTCTCGCCCAAACGAATCGCAATGCAAATTCTCAGCAGACCACGGATACACAGGTCGAATATGCCCTCCTCGCCGAACTCACACCTCTGTCTAGCAACACCCTCATTGCATCGACTTATGATACACTTCTTACTCCTCCTGACCCTTTTCATGGATACCCTGTCATCTCTGACATCCCCCACTAAGCGCTCGCTGTACAAATACACGTTCCATGCGCTCTCTGCGTTTTCTGCCCTAACAATGTCTCAGAGCCGTTGGGAATCCGTGCTGGCAACACGTGGACGGGAGGGAAATGAGTTACGAGACGGCCTCAATGCGATCCGTGGTGTATGCCTCAGGAGTTTTCCGAAATCTTGGCTGATTTAAAGCTTGCTGCTGGCAAGGGCGGTAAACTCAGTGTTGGCTTAGCAGACATCACTAATTCGGTATATTATACAGTCTTTTGTTTTGTATTCACCCGCGATAAAATCAAATCAATTTTGTTATATAAAAGAAGTGTAGCGAAATGGACGGCAGTAAGAGACGGAGACAGCACTAAGGGGTGTAGGGCACTGAGAGATCGAGACGGCTGTAAGAGACGGAGAATGCAGCCTGGAGCAAGCAAGAGCATCCAGCGAGTGAGACAAGCACTGATGGTCGAGCGAGAGAACGGCGCATCTCTAATCACTCAGGCTGAAGTCATCACAAGGTGTATCTGAATAGAAGCCATGTAGTACAAACATTGGTGGTAGAGTAAATGCCAAGATCAATCCTAGAGTTGTTTCCCGTTGTACGCATATGTAAACAGATTTTCCAAGCATTCTCGATCACGGGAATCTAGCGGCTGGGTTAAGACTGCATGCCTGATATCATCCTCCTTTGCGCTGTGAGCAGCTGTATTTCCCGCCCGCCTGATGTTATTATATGAACACAAGAAAAGGATGGACTGGTGGGATGGGGTGTATGATACACCCTGCTGTTTGAGAGCATCGAAGATCTTATTTGAAAGTTGATGAATACTGCAGGAAGCGCGAAGTTCTTCCCAGGTCTCATAGCCGAGGTGTTCCAGAACCTTTCTGCGTGCAAGGTCGAGTAGGACGCGAAGATGCACAGGGACTAGTAACATAGTGACCTGGGGAGATCGCTGTCAGGGTCGGTGATCAGAAAAAGGGATGACTTACTTGTCTCAGTGCTTCAACGTCCTGAGTGTGTTTGACTCTCGCCGCGTCTAAATCCCTGCGAACGCTGGTAAGCCCACTGTTTATGCTCTCGATCTCACCGCGCATGCTCTCATTTTCATTGAGAATCCTCTTGTTCTCGCTGTGAATGCTCTCGTTCTCGCTGAGAACCTTCTCATTCTTTCCTCGAATCTCCGCAATCTCCTTCTCATTCTTTCCTCGAATCTCCGCAATTTCCTTCTCAGTCTTTCCTCGAATCTCCGCAATCTCCTTCTGCATCGAGGCTAGCATCTCCTTAAGCTGGCTGTCCATAGTCACCTGAGGGGGATTGGCCGTCGACGCGGCATTTCGTCTCCTAGCATTATTGGCTGCGGAAATCTGATCAGTGTGTCTGTAGAGTATTCGAATATTACAACATACATTCGTGAGGTGGGACTGCTGATGTGCTTGGCTGAGACGTCGTATTGGATTCCACGTGTGTCTGATTGGCCTGTGCATTCAGGGCCAATTGAGTCTTGATACGACGATTCGTCTCAGCATTAGGAGTGATTAGTGCTGTGAGACCATCGGAGCGGCAGACCCTGAGCATATCTGAAGGTTGAACGGCTTTTAAAGAAGTACATCAATGAGTTGGACCCTGCAGCAAATGAAAGATGGGTTGAAGCTTACCTGGAAAGTACCTCGCCTGCGTGGTGAGTGGGTCCAGCTCGAGACCGTACACTCTGCTAACATGGCGGGTAATGTGATTTTGTAAGATTCCCACGGCCATCGCCACTGTGTGGTCTGAGCCTCGCAAACTGTTTTCAAGTGTATTTCTGTCGTCTGACCAGACAGCCGTTACTTTGACAGAATCGTTCGACGTCATGGTGGATGAAGATGAGGGTATAGTGTCTGAGTCAGTGATGGGGCCCTTTGTACTCCGCGATACACCAGTGGGCGAGGGTTGGAAGCATCAGTTTGCTGCTGTTTGTTTTCTCCATAATCTCATTGCAGCACTGAACTCGCGCTACAGCAAGGTGCCTACCATGATTGGTGACGTCCCTCTCACACAGGCTAAAGAGGCATGTTCTGTTCATTTTCTCATTGTACTCGAAGCCTAATGCATGGCTTCACAGCGCCAATACAGGTGTCCTGGACTCGAGAAACGTATATCTCGAAAATTTCCTCTTGAATCCAAGCCCTTCCACCTCCCTCTCTCACCTCTCAGGTAAAGTCAATCATGGTCAACTCGTCAGAGCATGGACCAGCTCGTGTCATCCCTCACAAGGACTATTATATTCGTGGTGGTGATATGACCGTACTGGTGAGTGTCCAACAGTCATTATGATACTCAACGTCTCGGATTGATGGATGCAACTTCGATTTTTGCAGGTCGAGAATCATCTCTATCGGATACACAGACACTTTTTTCAACGCGAATAGCTGTTCTTCCGCCAGAAGTTCCAGTCAGCCGAAGGCGAGAAGCGCGGCTTATCAGACAACAATGCCTATACTTTGGACGACGTCAAGAGCGAAGACTTCGTACATTTTCTCTGGGTCTTCTACAACCCGTATGCCTACTTAATTTGATTTTCTCGGACCAGACATCCTGACAATTGTGAATAGAAAATATTCGCTCAATGAGGCACCTCTCGAGACGTGGCTGAGTATCCTACATCTCGCCAACCGGTGGAGTTTCTGTAATGTCAAGGAACTCGCAGGAACTCAAGAAAATTCAGATAGAACCCGTCGAGAAGATCGCAATCTATCATGAGCACAGTATCAACAAGATCTTCCTCATCCCAGCGTATATCGCGGTCTGCAAGAGGGATAAGCCTTTGACCTTTTCTGAGGGCATACAGCTTGGGATGGAGACTGTTCTCCGTGTCGCAGACACTCGTGAGTGGGCTCACCAGCGTGCTGCTGAGAGCGGAGTCCGCTCGCCTACATTTGACGATTTCGAAGACGGTGAGATGGAATCTATGGTCAAGGAGGTTTTTGGAATAACGTCGCAACTACCATCGTCGATTGCACAAACTAGTAATTCATCTAGCCATACCAACGGGTCTACCTACACAGACAGCACGAAAGTCAACGGGTCAGCAACAGCCAAAGCCAGTGGCGGCTCCTCAATTCGTACTAACGGTTCATCCAATCCTGTTCGTTCCTCCATGGATACCACACACTTGTACAGCACTGCCAAGGAATCGCTATCCACTTCTTTGCCTTCTTCAACACACATGCCCGTTCCCTAGTCGCTAAATGCTGGTTCAAAGCTGGCTGCTTCGGTGCTTGAGAACAAGACGCCCCTGGAGAAGCCCAAAGCGTCTGAACAGATGAATGCGTCTTCCACTACATCCCCCTCTACTGATCCATTCCAGGCTGGCTGCTACAAACCAAGATGAATGGGTGATCCTTCCTCAGTGGTGAGTCTTGTGCTTATCTCTGACTCCGGCTCATTCTTGGTATTGGAGGAGGGAACACAGGAGGAAAAGGCTGGTTCTCATAGTTCCACCACCGTTGTCACCCTATAAATAGGTTGGGCACCTGATAGCACGCCACCCTAGGGTGGCCCACCCTTTCTGACTTATAATATTAGGTTGAATCATGATCAACGAGTTATTGACGTCTTCTTCGTTGAGAATATGTCTGTCACGTCACCTTTCAGTATCCAAATATTGTACCGCACAGCAGAGGTACAGACCTGTAGAATGCAGTCTCACCGGGACTATGGTTAAACACCTGTAAGAACTGACTTCTCCGGAGATGGAACATGAACTGTGGATAGATACTGAAATCATCCGTTAGTCTCAAGCTGACAGGGTCTTCCTTCCTGTAATCTGTGAACTTCTGGCAAAGATGGATGAGCATGCGGTCGAGCCAACGTAAAATGTCTGGTGAGTCATCTATTTCGGCCTTAAAGACTGCTATTCTCGCCATAAGTACGGCAGAGGCCTCTTGATCGAAGGAAGAAGCAATGCTGGGAAAGTTGGCTTCTGCAAAATTTCGAGCGATTGTGGTGACACACAAACGCATCTGCCCAGACGAGTGCTGATAATGAGTGACAGATTGAATGAGACCCCTTGATCCAGGAGACAATGCCTGGCCCGCAGGAGTAACGACCTCGAAGTAAATAGCAGCAGATGTCCTAGGTGTAATGGAGTTGATTCGCCAGGCTGATGTCTGACCAATACCAATTTCTATCTTGCCAACGCACGCAGATTTCTTTCCCGTGGAGATTGCATGTCCGATGAGGCCAGAAACTTTCAGTTCTTTGGTTGTCTAAATATATTGAAATCAAAAGGTCATGTAGAAGAGTATGCGAGATGACTTGCCTGTACGTCGAACGTCATGTTAAAACCCATTTGCAAGAAGTCCTGATCGTCCTTATTGAACATACGCAGGAAGCTTTGCTTGAAGATCGATGTAGCAAACGAATCAGATAGGACAATGACACCGTTTGTCGAGTTGGGCAATGATTTCATCTCTAGTAAGCCCACTTGATCCAAGCAACCAGCAAACAAATCGACAGCGTGGCCATTGTTGGATACCCTCTTCGCCAGATCTTCATAAAGTAAACTATGATGCCATGGTACATTGTGTCACTGATTCAGGACAAACCTTTACCGCACGTTTGTAGTGCTTGATGCTATCCTGTTCGATGTCGTGATGAGAGTGAATAGGCTCCTTGAGTTCGTTGTTGACAACCATGCCTGGACCCTCCGTTGCCGGTCCACCCACGAAAACCATTATACGCGCGCCCATGTTAGGGAAAGTCGTCTGAGTTATGTTGTCACCCGTACGCTCTCCTCACCACAATTGATAAACTCACCTCCAGGAGTCCAACGGCTACACTGACAGCCACACCAGTGCAACGTAAAGCGCGCTTGTCATCGGCAACTGGCCAAGGGTCACGAACGAGTGCCTCCAGAATGCCAGTGAGTTGAAATTCACATTACTGGACAGGAAGCAAGAAACGTGCAGCACCAAAAGCTTGTTGGGGCATGGGTTGGCCGGCGTGGGGTACGGTGTGAATTGTCATACTGAGTCCAAGCATGTCCTGAATCTGTTTCTGTGTGTACTCCTTGCCGCCACGGAAGACGTATGACTTGCTGCACTCTGCATAGCCCAACTCGTGAACTTGTGTCTAGTGGTTGAAGCAATGAGCTTGAATGATGAAAGAACAAGTGTATATACATACCATTGTGCCGAACATAATGAGACCAACTAATGCATATGGTGGGATCAAGCTGAGACTGACGACAAGAGCGTCATGAAGTGCTTTGAGGTCATCAGCATCTAGACAGGTATTGACAACAAACAGGAAGACAGGTGGGGCCTGAGTGGGACGAGATAGCGTGTACTCAATCGTCGTGTACTTGTGAAGTAATTCAGCGGGTAGATTGGTGTTAGAGATATCTTTATAATGTGGCGGGAAAGGATTGTGGGTCAAGAAAAACGGAAAAATCTACAGTTTGCCTCTGCCAATATCGATTTGACTGTATGGCGCATCATTAGTAGAATTTCAGGAAGGAAGAGAAGAGAAATACCAATATGGATTGAGAATAGCACGACAAGGCGGTTTACACGTCACGGGTTTGTATAATACTAGGGGAAGATCCTCTCGCTGCTTCAATGGAGTATAGAGCGCTGATATCGGAACCACAGTCTGCATCGCCTCTATCCGAGAAGAGGGCCATACATTCCACGAGAGACGAACACCTGAAATCAAACATAAGCTAATTGATCAATTTAAGCAAGATATCAATGAAACAAACCATCTCGCTCTTCGACATCTTCAAAATTGAGCATCTTGGCGCCTCCGCACGGGTTCGAATAAAAGTTACAAGGGCGCGACTGTTTTGCAAGTGAGTTGACCTGAACACGAGTACTTGCAACGTCACTCACTAAACGGATGAAGGATCAATGATAAGATTTTCATGCTAAAAATTGGGAAAATGACGTACCAATCCCTCCATCTCGACGATCTGTAACCATCGGTTCAACTCAGGCATGAAGTCCGTAGCTCCAGAGAATGCCACAGCACTAGCACCGACAAGCCCCCAGTACAAGCTCGAGTTCTCGCATATTCCCTCGCGGAAAGGGCAACCCTATAAGAGATGTCGTCAATGGATCAACTTCAGCGTCCTGCAAAATAAATTACCTGGAAGTTGATAGTAAATGTGGAGACCTGTTGAGAGAGACCCAGAAGGTAGATGGCGGTGTTTAAGAGACTGGGCTCGAACTGTGCCTCGAGGTCAATGAATGGGATCGAGACTTACGGCTCATGGAAATGCGACAAGTTCGTAATGTAAATGAGCGAGATAATGTGTAGGGAAAACTGGAGCAGCACGGATAACAACACATAGAGGTTGAAGATGTTGTCCAGCGGCCTCTCTCGGGAAAGTTTTTCAACCGGCTGTTGTCGAACACTCAGTATGACTACAAAAATTCAAACAAGAACCCACCTTGGCCCGAGAGATGCAGAGAAAACAGACGGACATCAACATTCCGCTAACAGTTACCTGATAATCACCAAATTTGAACCCGCCAAGATACTGAACCGACAAGCTGTATGCAGTGATCAGGCAGTTCAGCACCAAAATCCTGTACATCTGAATGGTAGCGACTAAAGTACAGTGACCTTGCCTGATAATGTGGGTAACTGTTCAAAGTTCAGCAGGAACCTTGCACGGTAGATGTACAAAAACTCACTGGCAGCGACATGGGACAGCTTCTATGTGAATGGGGCGGCACACGAAGCGTCTCCAAGTTTGATCTGAGGAACATCCTCATCGCCTTCCATGTTGGCCATAGCATCAGTAATTGAGGCAAGGTCAAACTAGAATACGGTGAGCCAAGCGGACCCTCACAGGGATGATAACACCACCTTCTCTATTGGATTCTTCTTATGTGCAACTTGTAAATTCACTGAAAGCATGAATGGACGTGCTCGAGGAAGATGAAGACAAATACCTTGCTGGCGTAAAGAGCTCTTCACAGAGCTCGACACCAATGCAGGTGTTCACTGGGCTTATAACACAGTCACTAAAAGGTATCAGCGCCGGCTAGCAGCCTTGCGTGTAGGGTGGCACTGTTGGAAAGATGCACGAGGGGCCAGTCATTGTGGTCAACTGCTTCGCGTTGTATTGATTCAACTTTGACGCTTTGAATTACCTGGACTCTCGGTGTATCCAAAAGCTTTATTAGCAGTGCACGTTGGAGGTTCAGGTTTTCTATCATTCAAACCATTTCGCTCGACTCTGGCATTTCAGACGTGTCAAAGGTGATGCGAGTACCGGAAATGCCACCCCACACCTAATTTGAAACAATTGAGTGGATGTCACCCTACAGACTCCAGAGACGGCACCTACACCTGGTGAATAGGATTCGTGAGTGCATAACATGGTTACATTTCACGGATGAAGGAGCTGAGTCGCTTCAAGTGGATCCTCGAGCCAGTAGATGACGAACAATTGTTCACTGGAGATAGTTTCACGATCTGATCGGACGATGTACAGTCCAGAACGAAGGCTTGGTTTTGAAACACTGGTCTTGCTGTGGTGTACAACAAGCTGCGCTGCTCCACAAGGGAAAAGTTCTTTAAGATATCAATCTGCAGCTCAAACTTGGTATCTCACATGTAGTCGTCGACAACGCCAAGAGACAATAAGAGCTGCACTATTTCTTCTTTGCTCCCATAAATGCCAATAGGTCTCACGATCAAGCCATCCAGCGCGCTGAACTTGACTTCTGTCATGGACCCATATGAACTGGGACAAATGGTATTGGTAAATGCTCGGAGTGAATCCTGCGCAATGATGATTTTGTCCACTAGGAGCAATCAACGAAGGAAACTGAACTTACATAGTCTTCACCATTGTCGGATATTATTGATCGATACAAGTCGTCGTCCGAGTCCTCTGTCCAATCTGTTTGATCACCTTTTGATGAGTGTGCTTGTGAAGCCGAGTGCTTGTTGTCGTTGTCCATTTTGTCAAGCTGAGAACTTTGTGGATTATGGAAAATCTGTTTGCATGTACTGTGCCGAGCAAGATGTGGGTTTTAAAATGATGACACGTGCGGATACGGCAGATTGGCCTCTGGAAGGCCTGAAACTTATTATGGCATCATATAACCTCGAGGCGGACGGCTTTACAAGTATGTATATATAACATACATGGACCTAGTCAGCGACAAGCCCTGCTTGCAGCTGTTTACATCTTCTTGACGCCGGCCTCCTTCGTTCAAACCCTTGACAATCTATAATGTCTTTAAAGCAAGACCGAAGAAATCGGTCCTGGATTAGCCGTTTTCTAGCCTCCCTCCGTAGTGCATTCATGTCAGAGCCTCCTCCTGAACTCCCAGTTTTAAAGTTTCACTGTCCAGATGGGCCTGATATCAATAGTGCGTCCATTTTGAGTTGGCGTTCCTCGATGGCAGATTCTTGGGACAAAACCCAGGGTAATCTGTATGCAAAGTGTGCACTGGCACGCATGGAGTACTACAAATGTGCTGGTCATCCCGAACACGAGTTCCTCTTGTTTTATTTCAGACACTGGATCGATAGCTGCTCCGCTCAGGCTGTAGTGTCTGCAGACCGTGCCATGCAAGGACAAAACCGTTCCCTCAGACAATCATCTGAATTAGCCTCTCCCTCATCATCCAACACCAACGCGTATGACTCCGTATCTATTTATGGTTCCCTCCACGATGCAGTGCCAGAACTTCAAGTCAGATATACACAATACAGCAGGCTCTGTACCTTTGACTTTCCTTTATCTTCTGCGCCCTCAGCACTTCAAGTGTCCACCGTCCTGTCTCTGGTACACCTCCAGGCCCCGGCATATCATTTGTACGAAAACCAATGCTATTGGTTTTTGAGCGCAGTGTGGGGCAGTTTGAAAGTGCTGTTCCCTAGTGATCAAGACTCAGAGTGCGAAAACCATCATGCACGCGCGCGTTATCGTGGGTTCGCATTAGGATCGCCAACTAAGGATATCAAGGCTGTATGTGCTGCTTATGAGCTCGAGTGGCAAAAGATGTTGGAGACGCTTGAGCAGGTAAAGTGCTATCACGAAGCTGAAGAGGCAAAGGTGGGTTATTCTCAGCTAATATAGTCTCCATTTCTTGATGGTACTTGTTGTTGCAGAATCGACAGAAATTGCACATGGAGTTTGAGGTTGAAAATGAGCCATTTCGCCAAGCACAGGTGAGTTGTTTTCTCAGCAAATTTAGTCTGTGTTTGTTGATGGTACATGTCTACCAGCAGGCCGAAATAGAACGACTTCGCCAAACAGAGGTGCACTATTCTCAGCAAAAAACATGGTCTTTGTTTGTTGATCTGTACTTGCCTTTGTAGATTTGCATGCAGGCGCAACAGAAAGCCGAAATCGAGCGAGTTTGCCGAGCAAAAGTGGGTTATTCTCAGCAAACATGATCTTCATTTGTTGATGGTACTCTTTCACTAGGACGCCAAAATCGAGCGAGTTCGCCGAGAAAAAGTGGGTTATTCTCAGCAAACATGATCTTCATTTGTTGATGGTACTCTTTCACTAGGATGCCAAAATCGAGCGAGTTCGCCGAGAAAAAGTGGGTTATTCTCAGCAAACATGATCTTCATTTGTTGATGGTACTCTTTCACTAGGACGCCGAAATCGGGCAACTTCGTGCGAGGCTTGCAGCCTTAGAGGGCTGATATTTCAAAACATCATACAAATTTGCCCCGTTCATGTTCCATCTCTCCTCCATATTCCGTAGTATAATAAAGAGGCAATACTATGAGCTTTCTGCGCTGATCATCAGCACCTCCCACCTTTGGCTCAAGGATTTTCACAACTCATGTGGTTTGAAACTGAGCATCATAGTAGGGTTGCGCATCACTGGTACCCCTACTGGTGACAAGACATACATTTAGGGGGTAAGCTTTATTTATGTACGATTGTGTTCCAGGACCTAACCAAGAGGTACTGCATCTGCAAAACCACTGAAATGAACGCTTAACTTACGCGCGTTACGGACACTTATGAATGCTTATGACTTCACTAGCGAACTCATGCGATTGGTGGAGATCTATTTTACTGTTATTATTTTATTTCGCCGGTTGAACTTACGAGAGATGGAGAACCGAACATTTTGATCAATGATAATCTGTCGCATCTCACTGAAGATAAAAGATGGGCTTGATTTGATCTCAGATCAAATAGATAAAAAAACAGACAACACGACGCAGTTAAATTGCATGATCAGAACATAACGAAGAATGTAACTAAATGTAACTAATGCAAATCTGAGTGCAATGAGTGATACACCTCCTTGTCCAAGAAATTGTTCAGATAAAAGCACTCATATACCTCCATACTCGTCGCTGCACCCACTGTACGGTCAGCGCCTTGGCCATACATAGGGATAAGCTCTACCACATGCGTGACATCTGTGAGAGAAATGACTGCACCCAATCTTATCCACTGGCCTGTGGGCCCTTCCCAATATTTTCGAGCCACTGTATACATACTGATGGCAGGCTGACTGCCTGGATCCCCAACGATCTCATAGTACTGGACATAGAGGAGCGGTTGGTCCGCAAGGTAGTGGGGAAGTGTGACGTGGCGAGGTGCAATGGGCTGGAAGACTACCCGCACTTGAGCAATATGATTTACTGTGTAACAATAATCAGTAATATGCAGCCAAGATAAGATAAATATTATTTACATCAGTTTCCTCACCAGCATCAAGTGATCATGCTTCGGCAACGTCAGTGGCAGTATTTGAACACCTTCAGGTTGGTCACCATGTATCGACTGCGTAATCACAGCATCGCAATTTCCTAGAGGAAACTGTTCTGATGGTGGGGCAGCCTGCACGACTTGACTAGGCATGATCATCCATGAGCGAAAAACGGAATGCAGCTGTAATCAAAACTTATTCCACGTCTTGAGGCGACCACGATCATTTCTCCATGCTGTCGTGAATTGACTGCCGGAAGCCTTCGTAATATAATCAGAAAGCGCTCATCCAAAATCCGGCAGTGCGTAAAGCTGCTGGATTTCATTGAGAGACATCTTGGCTCGATCAGGAGTAATGGTGACGTGAAAGGCAGCTGTAGTAGTGGAAGACAGGATGCCCTTCAAAAAGTGGTTTCGAACTGGGCGCGGCCCGACAAAACACCGTTGATTTGGATCATTAGGTGCAATGCGGGCGATCCATGTGAGAGCAGGGTCAGTTTCAGTGACCTCTTGCTCTTCTGTAACTATGGCATTGACGAGGGGGGAATCATGCATCCGTAGGAAGAGGTACAATTGGAATCGCTGCATCGACTCCTCATGGTTGAGAATGTCAACGATTTGTTCTGTGAAGGTATGTGACTGGCGTGATGTCCTCTCAAAAGGGAGTTTACAGTGAGTAATGAGAAGACGCTCAGTGACGTCAGCAGTCCATTGGATGAGGGCGCCAGTGTCCTTGGTGAACGAAGCAAAACTCTGCAAAAGCTCGAGCTTCGGGATGATAAAGTTGTCAAGTGTTCCTTTGGTGCCTCGTCTCGCGCCTGCATCCAATATTGCGTGTTTCTGGTCATGAAACTCTTTGAGTGAGGCGACCATGGAATCAACAGAGGTGTCAGAATAAACAGGGCTTTGGGCCTGATAGATGAAGTCAATCAAAGCGCGAATCACATGGACAAACGGGGGGGCATGACCCCAGTAATAGAAGGAACCAAGGTGCATTGCAAGTCCCGATGTTCCCAACCGGTCATTTGTTTCATCTGACATACTCCGGATGAAAAATGGGGTGTTCCTACTCTCTTGTGGTGACTTCGGAAACGGAGATCGAGTTCGTCCTTCCCCACCGATTCTTTGCACCACTTGAATGGGTGGTCAAAGAAAAACTTGTGACAGGTATGGAGAATCTCTCCTACCAGAAAGCGAGAAGGATCTGAGTGCCGCCAATTCTGCCAAAAAGGCTGGTGAATGCCACTTAATGAATGAGCCTTAGCTTCCTCCTGGAATTCTCGCAACCTCCATGGATTGATCTGTTGACAGATGTTGTATATCGCCGTAAGTGTATGTTATTTCGTGCGTGGTGTATGGCGATAAGTGTCACCAAAAGATTGAGACGTGGCCAATGTGATAGGAGAAGCGACCTTCGAGACACATGCTATAGCTTGCTGTTCCGGCAGATCCGCAGTGTACGCGACCAAAGGTGTGAAGCAGTGTCGTAGATGTCCGGCTGGATCAGGCATGAACTTGCCCACCATGGCTGCGACCTTAGTGTCTGCGAAGACGATGTCCATGCACTTATGGAATAGATGTTGGCTGAGAATGGTTTGGTAGTCAGGATGAACGTCAACGAATTTGGGAATCGGCATATATGCGACACATCGCCAAGCATGACATGTTGCTCTCATCCGCACGTCAGATTGAATGTTGGTGATAGTGACAAAAATAGGGTGCATTTCAAGTCCTCCTGTATGCCGGGTCACAGGTGTCTTATCCGATGCAACAATCATCGGAACAATGGTAGCGCCTTCGGGAAGTTGACCCTGTACCGAAGCCATCAGTAGACTACTGTGAATGATACATCAAACTTACCTGAATTTCAAATGCTTGTTGGGCCATAAAATATTCACTGTATTCGCGCTCATTACCATCGACCACGACGTGTGGGTCATACGTCATGTGGTTCGCAAAAATTGGATTTGCAAAGAGATCTTGCACTACCTCTAAGCCATCACGCCATATGAGGTTTATCAGTTGGATCGTTGGGTACCCGGTCATTTCAAGGGTCGTTGAACACCATTTTGGTCTGGTTGGAAGAGAAGCCACCCATGCAAGTAGCTGATCTTTGGAGCTGAACGACAGACCAGCTCGGCATACCTGTAAACTCAATGTCAGTACACTAGCCCATACTCCACAGCTCCAGACAAACCCATTCCAGCTTGAGAAATCGCTCCATATTACTTTGCATTAAGCGTTCACAAAGGAATTTTGCAAGGTCAAACTCTGCCTGGTCTTGAAAGGGATAGAATGGAGCATGACGTCGGTGGTAAGCATACTGGTCATTTTCCATTACCTTGAGGGTGTTTGGCGCCTTTCCAAATATATAGCCAGAAGATGGGTGGTACTGCCCAAAGACACGGTCTTTTCCTGCTTCAGAAGTAGATCGAAGGAACACAGGTGGGACAGGAATACGGCAATCTTGCACCGGAGGCCAGCAACCATTTGTTGCCTGGAGGTGTTCTAACACTGCCTCAGCAGAAGGCAAATCGATTTGACACTGGGGGCATTTTGCAATAGATGATCTGATGTGGTTACTGAGGTATCAATTCTAGAATGGAATAGAAACTTACAAATTGCCATCTACGATGAATGGCCCAGAATGATGGTTGCCAGTGTTCATAGTCACTGGAAGAATGCGGACTTTCACCTGCTTGAGCCAATGAGCCTAGGGTGCTACACTGCCAACACAGAGAAAAAGTTGCAAAGTCCTTCAAACTCTGCTTGGCACCCTGTTGTTCATAGCGATATCCCTCAACTGTAGTAGTATACTCCCCGTCCTTGAGCTTTGGCAAGTCTCTAACACTGATCTCTAGCCGCATATGGACGCACCTAACACTCGTATAACCCCCCCTCCTTTGTCTGACTGCAAGACCTCAACCTCAACTCGAGTCGACATAGCATCAGCATTCTCTAGTTCCAAGTTGGCGTCCCCTATGTCCCCTCTTACATCCTTCGGATCAGCCGAGTCCGACATAATTTCGCTCCCTCGGAAGAAATCTCAATGCATAGGCTGTCCCTCCTCTGCCCACATCCCCAATCGTTCAGGCCCTTTGGTAAGGCAAGACCGTCTTCAGCGTTTCCGGGAAAAGATCCGCTCTCAGTACAAGCCACGCCTTGTTTATCATTCTCCCCCATATGAGATTGCCTTTGCGAAGAGGCACATTACTCAGTCTTCACACAAACATTTCTCCCAGCAAGACTTGCATGAGGTAATTATCTCACTTCTCACTCCCATGATTTTACTTAAACAAAGATTTAGGGTAAAGAGCTACTCCAAAGGAGCTTATCTCATCTATCCAATAGTACTTTCTGCAAGGCCGCTCTAGTCAAACAGGCGTCAGCTCAGGACAAGAGACACGCGGTCATACACATGACCTGGAAACTCGAGTTGATTGAGAGGCAGAGGGCGTTTATGCAGTCACTCCGGAAAGAGCAGGAAGAGGAGCTTAAGATGGCAGAGACTGAAATGGAGTTCTTCAGGCAGCTGGTCTGTGATCGAGGACTCCCTGCTTTGCAAGACGACCAACAATATTTGGAGGCAATTTTTGCTGAAGAATTGGATGATCTTGATGTCTCCAATGAGCAGTACAGACAGTTCATGACTCATGCGAGGAAGCGTGTTGTTCCATTTGCGAATAGCAGCGACATGGAACTTTCCCCTGACGAACTCGTGGCAGATCATGATTCCTCAGACTCCCACAGTGATGGGGGGTCGGATGACCTTGTTTATGGAGCAAATGAATAGGAACTTCGGTATGTTACTGCTAGTTCCCCATTTTTCTTTGTTCTATTAACGACACATGTTCAGTCAATCTGACACCGAACAATTGAATCCCTATCGCCTCCTATCGCCCCAATTTCATTCTGTATCACCTATATCACCTCCTATCCAATCCCGATGCCTTCCAATACGATCGCTTTGCGGTATTCTATATCTTTACCTCAGCCCATCACCATGACTTATCCGCATTTTCTGCTTATGTTGAACGCGTCGTAGATTATGTATGATCTTTCCGATTTATACTCAACGTGTACGGTTCTTTATGTTTGAATATATGCTACATTGGGTAGGTAAATGGCTGGAAACCAATAAGATCCCATGGCCCCTCGACAAACAGTCTCTCAACCCTGAAGGACATCCGCTAAACAAAAGGTGAGTCCCTTCCATCGAACACTCGAACATTTCTGACATGATTTAGGCGCCGCCACAACCAAAAAAGAACTCGTCGCTCAACACCTCAGGGCGCGACATCACAACCCAACTCGGTTTGCCTCAAGATCGCCCTCAAACACCCGAATCTGTACATTGCCCCCCCCAGCATGGATGCAAATCAACTCCCTCCCTTCCAGCCCCAACCCCATTTCCTGCCCTCATTCGACCCGCAGGATTATCTAATGGGGGGCGGCTATGAGCCGCCCCAAGACCACTACCAACCTCAAGACCACTACCAGCTGCCCCAAGACCACTACCAGCCGCCTCAAGACCACTACCAGCCGCCCCAAGACCACTACCATCCGCAAGACCACAACCAGCCGCACTACCAGCCTCAAGATCACTACCAGCCGCAAGATCACAACCAGCCGCAGGACCACAATCAGCTGCAGGACGACTTCCAGCAGGAGGGGTTCGACCAGGGAGGGTTGGAGCAGGGAGGGTCGGGGCAGCATGGATTCCAGCCGCCGCCTCAACATCAACCACACAAAGGCGACGATGCTCGACCCGTGCATCAAGAACTCAACCTTCACGGCCATGGCGTGCGATGACATATGCGCTGGAACCTCAGGGATGCTGGTGTCCCGCACGCACAGCCACGTCCTCAAGTCATCGGTGTCGCACTTCCTCGCGAGAGGGAATCTGAACGCGGGGAGTTCACTCAAGGGGTCATTCATGTAAGTAGTCTCTTTATTTTCTAATATATGATAATATATAACATTACTATAGGAACTACGTACATCGCAAAGTGTTAGCCAGCACGGAACGCATCCGGTCAACCAGCACCTACCTCCAATGCCAGTACCCGCACCTGCACCTGCACCTGTACCCGCACCTGCACCCGCACCACCCGAAACCACCTCTAACGACGAGGTTCCCGATTCTGTTTTCGCCATAGAACTCGACAAACCCACCATCGATTCCATCAAACTCTCTACGAAAGAAGAACTACGTCGCATGATGATGCAAGGGAGGGACACCGTGTCGCCGACACGAAAGAAACAAGGCGCTGTCTTAGACAGAGCCCTCAAGAAGGCACACATTTTGATAATTGGTCAAGGTAATTTTTCGTTGAATTCATTCACGACGTCACTAACACTTTGTTTTTTTAAAGTTCGCTATAAACCATTCGAAAAAAAGGCCGCTCGCGAAGAGCTCGTGACATGCATGTCGAACGTACGCCGGATATTTAGAGACTACGCCGCCAACATCGTTCAAACGGCACTCAATCTACGACTACCTATATCCTCAGAACCTGGCGAGGAGGTCGCCCATAAGGCAGTGCTAGTCCTGGAGCTCTTGAAGAACCTGAACTTCTTGCACAAGTCGGAGCTGGTATTTTTTTTTTCTAATGTTCGCACACTGATTTTTGACTCACAAACTGACTAGGGTGAGGATGGTGTCGAATGGCTGCTGCTGCTGGAGGCTGATTATTTTGTCGAGATGATTGTCGACGTCATCTGGCAAAAAGGTCTTCACGAGTATATTGACCTGCTCCGACTCGACAGCGCAATCGCCCTCGCTGGGGCTGCATTGCAGAATGCGCTGAAAGCTTACCGGACAGGCAGGTTCAAGTCCGTCGACGCGTCGACAGAACAATTCTACGACACATACCATGCGATCCTGGTGCTGATTGACAGCATTCGAGCAGACCCTGCTCTGAAACTAAGGTATGAAAGGCTTCAGGAACTCATCGTGACGCGGGGCCGTGAGTGCATGGGTCTTGATCTCACTGATTCGAACGATGACGACGATTAGATAACATTTTCGGTAATATGTAGATTATCTTCGCTATCACTATGTACTACTAGATAATCTTCACTATCGCTATGTACCGCTCAATAATCTTTACAATTTTCGTTACAAACATATCAATTCAACTCTTTTGGGCGCAATAACGTGTATTACGAACTACAAGCGACGAAAACAGACTAAAATTGCGCACTAACCAAAAACAACTCGAGCTGGGAGCCTCGAAGGAAACTTAAAGGTCCGTTTTCGGTTTTTCAACTTTCAGATGTGAGAGAAATTTTCCATTTAATACCCCTCATGTTTCGCATCGCCTTTGATTGTACAACAAGTGATACCTTATCCCATTTTCCAAAATTTTACGTACAACGGCATGTAATATACCTACATCTGCATCGTATTCTCCCTATATCTCTGTTCAGGCATTCATCAGGAAAATCATGGATGTCTTAATCGGACTTTTTTGACTTTTTAAGGGACCTTAAGGAAAAAAAGAGCAAGAGCGCCACAAGATGCGCTAAGGCCACAGCCTCGTCTTGTAGCGACTTAAACACAATTGAATTGACTTATCACAGACAATTTAAGGCATGAAAACTCAATAAATTCCATTGCAAGTAGCTGTAAAATGTGTCATAGAATCACTAAAAAGTGCGCAAAAGGGTGATTAAGTCAAAAAATGAGCGAGACACACAAAGCGTTAAGAGCATTAAAGGGCAGCTAATCAGTGCTAAGAGATGACAAAAGACCAGAAAACCGGGATAAAATGCATTAGTGAGGAGCAAAGAAATGGTTCAAAATGGTGGAAAGTGCAGGCAGAGGGCACAAGGATTGAAAAGCTGCATGAAGGAGATGTTGACCGGAGGTGTGAGGCTCACATATCTGTAGATAGTACAAAATGTACTAGTCAAAACCTGGGAATGGCGAAAGACACTAACTTACCAAACATCCGCACGATCATCCTCATCCTTGAATGAGTCATTGCTGGTGTACTTATCGAAGCTGGGTTTCTTCAGAAGCTTCCATGCCATTGAGACAGTGAGCTCTGTTGCTGCCTCCCCCTTCTTAGCTGCCGCACGTATAAATGCGTCAGTCTTGGATTTCCACTTGGCAATTGAAAATGCATGCTCTGAGACCGTCTCCTTGCCCGTAGCTTTGTTGAGGGTCTTTGGTGTCTTGAGACGAGCTCTCCGTGCAGTAATCGGCAACCCCAAGTGATCCTCATGGTCGATAGTAACAGTATTATCAGCGAGAAGAGAGAAAGCACGTTCAAGCTACAAATACAGAAATTAGTAGGTGAAAATCCACTTAGGATTGACTTACCGAAACGGCACACAACCCCAATGCCCCGAAAAAACCATGTCTAATTAAGTTGCGAGTGTTGAGAACAGGGACGTCAGCATGTCCTAGAATTCGAGACAGATGTGCCGTTGAGAGAAGTTCCTGCACAAACGCAGAGCGAAATGTTTCTGTCTTGTCAATGTTGTCAGGGTTAGGGTATAGGAAGCCATAATTGACAAGGAGGAGTTCTGAGAGTTCTGCTGGAGCTGAATCTTGATTGGAGGCACAAAAATCAATTGCAATAGCAAGCGCTGTAGACCCGAAGTTGCTACGCCATTCGCCAACACGTTGTGTGACCTGTAATATATCAGTAGTGTCCCCCAAATAAAGTGGTAACACAGACAACACCAAAAACAGACCCAGACGTGGTGACATTGTAGCGAATATCTGGATAGACAACCTTGAAAATTTCTTTGCACGCCATGAGCAACTTAGCATCAGCAATAACCCAGAGTTCCTCTTGTGCGCTGAGCCACAGAAAGACTGTCGGTAAAAAGACTCGAACCCATTTTCCATCCTCATGACAGCCTGATGGGAGGTCTGTGTTCAAATATGATGAACGCGCCTTCGATACTGGTTCTACCCAGGTGCCAGGCAACACAGTTGACGTTCCCTCGGATTTGATGTTGCCCTGTTTGGTATTTTTCTCGAGTTTCACCTTCTTTGAGGGAGGAGCAGGAGCCTTGCGAGTGGTGGTAGTCACTGACGTCTGAAACTGAAGTTAGTAGCGAAAAAATAAAAGAAATAGTGGAGGGAGATACAGAAGTTGTAGTGCGTATAGCTTTAGCACTGTTCTGAACCACTGGCTTGGGCTTGATATCAGCATCCAATTCGTCACTCGGGCCATCAACCTCCATAAGGTCATCGTCCGTGTCCAAAAACTCAGAGATCTCACTCTCAGAAAACTCAATGACCTCAGCTAGCTTCTTCCTCTTTGTGCTGGATACGGCTCGGGGTTGTGTTGAAGGTGGTGGCATCAAGGCGCGGTTCTTCAAGCAGGGTTGAGTGCTGGATGGTGGTTTGAGGTCATGTACGGCTCGGGGTTGTGTTGAAGGTAGTGGCATCAAGGTGCGCTTCTTCAAGCAGGGTTGAGTGCTGGATGGTGGCTCGAGGTCATGATCAGTGCTAGTAGATACAATACTGATGGTAGACTAGATTCAAATCAGCCTGAGAGGTGCAAACTTGCAAATCACAATTAAAAAAATTCACTCACCATCGCTGGTTGTTTACCCTGACTCTTTGTCATAACTGCCACTGCCTCCCGTTCGAGTGTTTCATCCAAGTCCTCATCTCCAAAAGCTCCAACAAGGTCCTCAATATTGTCCTCTTTGCTGCTAGGAGGGGGAGGTGCATATGAACTGACGGAGGTCCTCTTCGATGCATTGGAAAAATTTGAAGGCAGCGGTTGAGTGGCAGTGGTAAGCAATTCTTGCTCGGAATTTGATTTCAGGGGAACCCTTGTCCTCCAGTTTTGAATGTGACCACCTAGAGCAGATTTTGTTCTAGACGCCCAGATGAAATTGAGAAAATATAGAGTAGATTCAGTAAGCATAAACATGGCAGTTTAAGGAAAACACGCACTCGGAGTTGCCTTTCTCGTTGTTTGCACGCGCATCATTGACATCTGCATCAATCTGGAACCTAACACCTGAGATCGCCGCCTTAAGTGTTTGCTTCTTTGACTTCTGCTTTGTACCGCCTGGAATTTCAATATTGCTACCACCCAATGACTCATCTTCGTCAAAAATCTGATCCTTCACGTTTGACGTCTCACCAGGACCATCCATATTGTTGGCATACTGGCGACCTGCCTTAGAAAAAGGTTCCTCTGATTGGCTGGCATGTGGCTGGCGACCCTTTGGAACCGGTCGCGGTCTGACTGCCTTGGGCTTATCAGCAGCTTGAGCCTGTGTAGCCTCTATCTGGACCTGCATTTCTGCTAGTCTGGTGAGCCCTGCTAGGGCATCTGCTTCCTTTTCTGCCCTGGCTGCTGCCAAGTGGTCATCATCTGCTTGTTTTTCGGCTTTGGTGCGTCATTTCTGTTGTGCGTCAAGAACAATCTGACCCAGATGGGTGGTAGCATTTTTAGCACGTGTGCGACGAGGAGCCATAACAAGCGGTAGCTCAATGAAAAGAAGGGCGGGACCAGGATGCACAGGCCGAGTTGTACTAGTGTGTGAGTGGTAGAAAGGAAAATAACTGCACGGAATGAAAGGAAATTTGTAAGTGGCACCCTGTTTTGTCTGGGATGCATGAACCCTTAGTGCTAAGCGCTTATTTGAACCTTAGTCTTTGAACATCTCAGCTTCACTCCAGGCTACCACATCCTCCCCACACCGAAAATCCACTATGTCAATCCTCCCCACGCCGAACATCCATTACATCCTCCCCATGCCGAACATCCACTATGTCAACCCTCACCATGCCGAACATCCATTACATCCTCCCCACGCCGAACATCCATTACATCCTCACCACGCCGAACATCCATTACATCCTCCTCACCACGCCAAAAATCCATCACATCCTCACCACACCGAACATCCATTACATCCTCCCCACACTGAACATCCATTACATCAATCCTCGCCACGCCAAAAATCCATTACATCCTCACCACGCCGAACATCCATTACGTCAATCATCTTACCTGACGCTGAAACTATGCCTGATACTATCCCTCGCACTCAGGTTCATCACAGAGACTTCAGCGTCTTGCAACTCCCATGTGGACATGCAGGATGCAAGCAGTTTTTCAAGACAGGTGCAGGGCGCACAAAACATATTTTGTCAGCCCATCCTGTGATATCTTCCCCAACACCAGAGCAGGACATGGACATCGATGTCCCAGATGTCCTGTTGCAACAACTTGAAGATCGGTATAATGGTCAGGATTTCCCCTTCTCACCTGATAATGAGGAACATGACCTTGGGTACAGTCATGATCACTGCGCTGATGCGCTGAGGTCTTCCCCCCTGCCGGATGTTGATACTGAATTTTTTGGGCCCGGGAACCATCTTTTTCGCAACTATCATGCCCAACTCAATGGTTTGTTTTCATATCTCTCATTAACGTAGCTGCTGACATGGCTTACAGGACGTCCATGTGACATTCATGGTTGTTTTCTCGATGATAATGCATTGCCACCAACTCACGAACCTCAATCTCTGAATGACTGGACGCCATTCCGTAACCGCACTGAATTTGAAACTGCCGACTTTTTCTACACTCAGAACCCAATGCCTGCCCGGAAAATTGATGCGCACCTTGCCCTATGGGCATCTACCTTGCTCAAACATGGTGATGCACCACCATTTGCAGACCATCAAGATCTCTATGCGACGATTGACGCAATACCATTGGGAGAGGTCAAGTGGGAGTGTTTCTCATGCTCGTATACAGGTGAGAAGCCTGAAGGTAGTTATCTGCCCTGGATGGACAGCACCTTTGATGTATGGTACCGGGATCCACATCAAGTAGTCCGCAACATGCTCGCAAACCCCGATTTCGCACATGAGATGGACTTTCGACCTTACCGAGAGTACTCGACCTCAGGCGAGGAGCGCCACTATAGAGACTTCATGTCTGCTGACTGGGCATGGGATCAAGCAGTGCGTACATGACCATCACTATGAATATTCCAGGGAACTAACATATCATACTAGGACATCATTTCTAAGGATCCAGATACAATTGGCGCCACCTTCGTTCCTGTCATTCTTGGAAGTGACAAAACAACCGTCTCTGTAGGAACCGGGAACAATGAGTATTACCCGCTCTATCTGTCCATCGGGAATGTCCACAACAATGTCCGGCGTGCGCACCGGAATGCAGTTGTAGTCATTGGCTTTCTTGCGATGCCAAAGAGTGAGTGAAATAACTTCTTGTAGTATTTGTACTGATGACCTAGTAGCTACAAAGGAACACGCAAGTGACCCACACTTCCGAAAATTCCGCCGCCAGTTGTTTCATGCTTCGCTTTCCAAGACTTAGGCCCGGAATGACGAAACCTGAGGTCGCAAAATTTGGTGATGGGCATTTCCGTCGCGTCATCTATGGCCTTGGACCTTACATTGCCAACTATGAAGAACAAGTTCTGCTGGCATGTATTGTGCGCCGCTGGTGTCCACGGTAATTGGTTGTTTTTTGTTTCTATATCTTTGACTTATGGTATACTCAAGATGTATGTCACCAAATTATGATCTTGATGCAGCTGGCGCACTTCCTCGATGTCAAGCGTATACAGAAGAACTTGTTAGTGTGGGGACATATTTGGAACTGTGGGACGAGTTTGGAGTTGTAGCAGATCTTGTCGTACGTCTTCTCATTTTTATCTTTGTTCTTGTTCTCACTACAATTTATATCCACAGCTGTTCACTAATGATTTTCCTCGCGCTGATTTTTGCCAGCTGATCGCACCCGACATCTTACATCAGCTCATCAAAGGCACGTTCAAGGACCATCTTGTGGACTGGGTCCATAAGTATCTCCTACAAACACATGGAGCACGCGATGCACAACACATCTTGGATGACATTGATCATAGGTATGTTGATTTTCTATCTCATTTCTAATATCTAATATCTAATTCTGGCTCTACTTTCAATAGAATCACTAGTGTCGCCCCTTTCGCAGGCCTGAGGCGTTTCCCGCAAGGGCATGGCTTCAAACAATGGACCGGAGATGACTCAAAAGCACTTATGAAGGTATGTGTCCCATTACGTTTCACTATGATCTTGCTTGCTAAACCTTGTCAGGTTTATATAGTGGCCATTGAGGGACACATCCCAGTGGAAATCATACGCACATTCGTGCGTTTCTTGAATTTTGTTACATTGTACGAAAGAATACTATAACCGAGGGCACGCTGGAGAAACTGCAAGATGCTATTTCCCGTTTCCATCATTATCGCAAGATTTTCCTTGAAACTGACACTGTATCCATGTTCTCTCTACCACAACAACACTCTGTCTCTCATTATTTGCAGCTCATCCGACTCTTCGGTGCTCCAAATGGACTCTGCTCATCCATTACAGAGAGCAAACACATCAAGGCTGTTAAAAATCCATGGAGGCGATCAAGCAAATATAATGCACTTGGTCAAATACTTGTCACGAATCAATGGCTCGATAAACTCGCTGCTGCATGAGTCGACTTCATCAGCCGTGGGATGTTGGATGGAACTTGCCTGTCAGCAGCCCTTGATGCCCTTTGTAAGTTCTAAACATATTTTCAGCCGCTTGAAAGCTGATTTTTAATCCATAAGCACAACAAGACGAACCAAGGGATCATGCGCTTACTACTACTAATGATGCAATCCGCAACGCTCACAACGAAGACTTTGACATGTCTGTTCCTGAAGACGACATCGACGGGGTAGATCCTGGCCCAACAGTTCTGCAAGCGCATACACGATTAGCATGAACTGCACGCAAGTATAATTCCCTCATCGTTGTGTGTCAACTGTCTGATTTGGCATGCAGAGACAAAACATGCACGCACCGTGCTCGCTCTCGCTGAAGAGTTGGATATCCCTCGTCTACCTGAGATGGTCTGCCACTTTCTCTTCCAGCAGACACGTCCGGATGATCCACGAGATGTGTCAGAAATTCCTATTGCAGGATGTCCTCGATATGAGGGCAAAATATCAGTATTCAACTCTGCATGCTCACGGTTCTATGCCCCGAGCGATATAAGTGGGATCGGTGGGATGCGGATTGAGCACATTCATGCTTGTCCCATGTGGCGGAACGAGGCCCCTCGTTATGACTGTGCTTTCGTCAATATTGGGTCAGAAGATGTGGGCATTCGAGGACTCGAAGTCGCGAGGATTTGTGCATTCTTCTCATTCATTTATGGAGGAAAGACTTACCTGTGTGCCGTCGTGCGCTGGTTCAATATCATTGGAGACTCGCCCGATGAAGATACTGGCATGTGGATGGTCCGTCCAGCCTGCGGCACCAACAATGCACCTCTCTACAACATTATACATGTCGATTCAATCTATCGTGTGGCTCACCTCATTCCCGTTTATGGCAGACATTTTCTCTGCCACGATATTAATCTACACAATTCATATGACAGTTTTCGAACATTTTATGTCAATAAATATGCTGATCATCATGCTTTTGAGCTCGCATCATAGACATTCGCACTTATCTTTTTCACTTTAATACAATTGGTCACATTTTTGAGCCTTATCATCTTTGTTCCCTTGGACGACTTGAAACAGCTTAAGCTAGGTACTCTTGGACTGACTTGTTGTGCCTTGGTGCACATTTGCGAAGTTGCCTGAAAAGTAAAGCTCGAATAAGCCGCTAAAAGTCAAATAAGGAATTTTGTATTTTGCTGATGTTTGTAGGCCTGTAGACGGGCAATATATATAGCATAGTGGGTGCCGGGACGAGCTATGATGTCGAATGGACCGAGATTCTTTTCCAAGAGCTTTTTTGATGATCGGGTTGAGTGGAAATATTTTGCTTTAACAAAGACCTGTTCTCGGACTTTGAAGTCCGGAGCGGGTTTCTGCCTAGCGTCCACGGGTCCCTGATATTGTGTTTGGGCACAGGAGATTTCTTCTCGGAGGAATTGGTGAAGTTCATCTAAATCTATAGCATAATCCCGGGCACGGGCAGATGAGAGATCACGCTCTGGATGTATGGAAATGTTCGGGTGATAACCCTTATTGGCGAAGAATGGTAAACTCTGGTAGTAGTGCTTGGAGCATTGTTGTATGCAAACTTGGCCAAGGGCAACAGTTCTGACCAATTATCCTGCTGATAGTTGCAGTATATCCAGAGGTATTGTTCTAGGGTTTGGTTAGCTCGCTCGGTTTGTCCATCACCTTCCGGATGATATCTGGAGGTGAAATGTAGGATCATGTCGAGTGCTTTTCCGAGTGACCAGAAGAAGTGGGATACAAATTCCATACCGCAATCGGAAGTGACATGGGACGGAACTCCATGCTTGGAGAACACATCAAGTAGGAATAACCGGGCAAGGTCCAGAGAGGTAATGGTGTCGTAGGTTGGAATGAATATGGCTTGCTTGGATAGTCGATCTATGACTACCAGAATGGCGGTAAAGCCAGAAGAGTTGGGGAGTTGTTCAATGAAGTCCATGGATATAGAATTCCACGGCTTCTCGGGAATGGGGAGTTGCTTTAACAATCTGTATGGTTTGTGTCGCGGAACTTTGGCTCAGGCGCAGGTAGTACAGGACTTAACATAGTCCTTGACATATGTGCGGATTCCGGGCCAGGTATATTCCCGATGGATAACTTCCAAGGTCCGGTTCAGACCACTCTCATCCACTGTCCATCTTGGGTCTGACAGACCCGGAAGATGACTGGAAGCAATCGGGTCATTAGGGAGGGCGGACAGAATGTCCTTATGAAGCTGCTCGATATCCATCAGTACAGCTGGCAGGAGCACCAGAATTGCTAGGTATGATGCCTGGAGGGATGAAGTGAGCTGTTCTGTGGTAAATATCAGCTGAAGGTTGTGTGGATTAACTTGAGCGTAGTCCTTATCCCCCTCTTTGGGGTAGATGTCCCAATGTCTAGTCAGGCAGTCGGGCTTTGCTCCAAGTTTTCTGGGTTGGAAACAGATAATGAGGTTGAACTGATGGAGGTATTCCGACCAGTGGACCTGGCGGCGGGTGAGGAGTTTTGTGGTAGCGAAGTACTCAAGGTTCTTGTAATCTGTGATGATGTCTATTGGCTCGGCAGAGCCTTCAAGGTAGTGTCGCCAGGACCAGAAGGCTTCGTAAATAGCTAGGAGTTCTTTATCATGGGTGTCATAGTTGAGTTCCGGAGCCGAAAGGGTCCCGGAATAAAAAGAAACCGGGCGGAGCTCTTGGTCCGGACATACTATAGAAAGTATTCCAGCGATAGCATGGTTGGAAGCGTCCGTCTCAATGATGATAGGAACATCCAGCATCCAGTGCATAAGCACCGGAGCAGTAGTGAAGGCTTTCTTGAGAGTATCGAAGGATTTCCGACAATCCTCAGAGAAATTCCAGGGAGCATCCTTGTGAGTGAGTCGCGTAAGCGGAACTACAATATCCGAGTAGTTAAAGATGAAGCAACAATAGACATTAGCAATTCCGAGGAATGATTGAATATCCTTAACTTTCTGAGGTTCCGGCCAGTTGCAGATAGTCTGGACTTTGTCCGAAGACATGGTAAGGCCGGCCGGAGATAGGAGGTAACCAAGGTATTCAACCAAGTCAGAATGGAATTCACATTTCTCCAGTTTGGCATATAGCTGATGCTTCTGGAGGCGTCGGAGGACTTCAAGGACATGTTGTTTATGAGATGCAAGGTTGGCGGAATGGATGAGGATGTCGTCGAGGTACACAATAACACAAATGTCAAGCATATCAGCGAAGATGGTGTTGACAAAGCGCTGGAAAGCCGCCGGAGCATTGGTGAGACCCTTGGGCATAACCAACCATTCATACGAGCCGTAGTGCATCCAGAAAGCAGTTTTCCACTTGTCTCCTTCCGCCATCCGGACTAGATGGTAAGTGGACCAGAGGTTGATTTTAGTGTAAACTTTAGCACGGCTCAGAGAATCAAGAAGGTCGGAAATGAGGGGAAGTGGATAGTGGTCTTTCTTTGTGATTTTATTGAGTCCTCAGAAATCTACACAGAGGCATAGGGAGCTGTCCTTTTTCTTGACAAACAGGACAGGGGCTCCATGTGGAGAGGATGAGGAACGGAGGAGTCCGGTCGCAATATTCTCATCTAGGAATTTGTGAAGAGCTACAAGCTCAACCGGAGAAAGGGAATAAATGGTGCCAAGGGGCGGAGCCGCTCCTTCTTCCAAATCGATCTTCAGATCATAGGGACGATGGGGAGGGAGCTGCCCGGCTTTGCCCTTATCAAAAACATCCACGTACTCGTGATATTCCGAAGGAATTCTGGATAGGTTTGGAGGTTTGGAGGAGAGCATAGCGGAGCGGAGATTGACACCAGAGAGACAGATGAAAATACTGAACTGGACCAATCCCTCTAATTTACAGGCCCAGCAAAAGGCAACTGCATTGATTAGGGAAATATTGGGAACAGGTGTTATCAGCAGAGGGACTCAGCAGGGTTACAGAAGGGATTTCCGCCGGAGCCGGCAGAAAAGGGGATCAGGAGGAGGTGAAGGCACTTCATGAGGAATCAGACAGAAATCAATGCTGCCTTTTACCCAGTCAATCAACAGATTGTGTCAGGTGGGCCAGCTATATCCTAGAATGATGGAACAGGATGAGTCCAACAGAGTAACATTAAATGTTTTGGAGGTGACCACGCTGGTCAGAAAACAGATCGGCAAATCTACTTCCTTGGTAATTGTGGCATTAGAAGTACCATCAAACAAATGGAGCGGAAGCGGAGAAATGGCATAGGTCAGAATGTTATTTTCTCGGATTAGTTTGCTTTCTATAAAACAATGGGAGGAACCACAATCTACAAGAGCCGGGAATAGAGAGATATCAGGAACAGTAGAAATAGAAACGGATGGTAATAAAGAGTTTGGATCAGAGAAGGATATAGCATTGAGGTGTAGCTCCTTTGCACTGGGTTGAGTCAATGCAACCCTTGTCCTGTGTGGAGTCAAGAGGGTTGCAGACTAATGTTTTGTCTCTTCCGAGACCTCTGGTTTGGCATCTGGAGTAACCATGCTGGCATGACCTTTGGCCACACGGGAAGTGGATTTTAGGCAGTCCATGGCAGTATGACCAGGGTCCGCCGCAGAAGAGGCAGAGCTTCTATTCCATGCGCCTCTGGCACTCCTCAGACGTTAGTTTACCATCTTTTCCAAGCTTGGACGTCAAGTCCGGAAGTTTGGTGGAGGAGGAAGCCGAAGCGGTTCCGGATTTTCCGCCGGAGTACTCTTTCCAGTCAGAAGTAGAAGCCAACTGCTTAGCAGGAGGGGTGGATGTGGAGGGTTTGATTTTGCAGGAGACTTCTCCCTTGCGTTCCTGGTATCGAGCATCGATAGTCTGGGCGAGAGTTTTGTATTCGGAAGGGTGGTAGGTTTTCCTTGACAACTGATCTTGTCTTTGATGCAAGCCGGAAGTCTGTTATAGAACTGACGGCGCAAAGCTCCGTCGCCCCAACCTCGGACTTGGGAAGCTAGCTGCTGGAACTCTACAACATATTTGTTGATGCACTATCCATCATGCATATAGAGCTGTTCCAGCTGCATCTCTGCATCTCCGACCAGGTCATGAGGTCCAAAGTCAGTTTGAAGTTCTAACATGAACTCGGAGTAGTCATCCATCCAGTCTGGACGATCCGCTAGATCATCCAAAGGAGGTCCAGCTCAAACCATTCAAGGGCCATGCCCTTGAGGTATGATTGCGCGAAGTTGACCTTAGTCTGGCCGGTACAGAAAGATTTTGGCTTAGCTTGAAAGTTAAGCTCACATTGGACAAAGAATGCCCGGAGCTTCCGGGGCTCAGTGCCGTCGAAGGTATCCAGTTCTCGGACTTTGACTTTAGAGTCACCAGATCCGGAGGATTGGCAGTTGTTACACGCCAGGTTATTGATAGCTTGGGATAGCTGAAGGAAGACTAAGTCCTGTGGACCTAGACCGTCGTTTTCATTGTCTTCTGGGTCTTCCGGAGGATCATCATCTGGATCACCCCCACCATCTCCGGGCGGGTTACCACCCAGAGGATACTCGTCATTGGAATCGTTGTGTGGAAGATTTCCAGCGGGTGTGGGTGTAGGGGTAGTCAGATGCGGATGGTTCATGAGTTGTGAAATGCTGGAGGCAGCACCTTGCGCACTAGCGCGGCGCTGAGAGAAACTGAGGAAGGCATCGACTATGGGAGTAGAGTCCCGTCGGGCGGTTACTAAACCCGCCGCGTTGAGAATGGTCTGTGCCCTTGTAGGTGCCATAATGAAGTAAGTATACTCGGTATGGTGTGAGTTCAAATATACTGTTAAGAACGTGCTCAAGGGTCAAATACAAAGGGCTTGGCTTCAGCTCGTGCGCTGCACCCCTTACCCAAGTACATGCCCCTAACTTTCGAGGGCTGTCAAATGATGTCCGAAGGTTACTGGACAATGTCCAGGAGGGCGTCAGGTGATGTCCAGAGTCCAATGTCCTGATGCATGGGAATTCCAGCAGACATTTCGGGAACAAGAGATAAGACTAATCCGGACAAAGTCCGAACTAGAAAGGAAATAGTGGAGGACTACCAAAGGTAGAGGCGGAGGTGTCAAGTCTATAGGATTCAATCCTAAGACGAGCAGAGGACGACGAGAGAGAACTCAAGTTGGACGGAGGAAGGAATGAGCAGAGTCTAAGATAATATTCGAACTAAGGATGTACATAGATTCTACAGGGTTTATATACTACTAAGGACTTATTGGAGAACTGAGATACACAGTCCGAAGCTATACAAAGCTGTGGATGGAGGGTATATAAAAGTCAAACACTAGTCTATCGGAAAATAGTAAATGAACCCAGAGATTAGATCAGAGGAAAATAAAGGGCGGAAATGAAATGAGGTACAGAAAATGATATAGTCTAACCGGAGTAGGAACATACAAAGGGATAAGGCATGGAAGTTAGACATGGGTCGGATCCGAACATAGATAGACATTGGCCAGGATCCGGACATCCAGAAATGATATGTGTGATAGGTCCGGGTCCGGAATGCGGGATATGACAGGGGCCGGGATTGAGTCAATGCAATGTATACTGTACAATAGCTGAAGGAAATGGACTACAGCAACCTGCGAGTACAATGTAAAATATAAGTAGCATGTCAACTCAGTCAAAACAGAAATATCTCACCTTGGTTCAGACAAATTATTGAAAGGCCCCAATTGACACTTATAAAAGGTCAACAACCATGCCACTTCGATTCCACACAATATCTCTTCCGGCACACTCATCATTACTCGCCATGCGAACCTCTATAAGATGCCAGTCCCCAGCCCCCGCAGATGTTATCATGTATCAGTTTGAATAATACAATGATGTATGTGCCCCTGCAGAGAGCTTTGATGTGAGTCTTTTAGTCCTAGTCCCTCGACCATGAAACTGAACACGATCATTGCAGCAAGCAGTTACATTTGCTAGATCAGCATTCGAGGGTGACCTCACTGGGATTGACAAGAGCCAGATATCCTTCTCACTGAATGTGCGAATGGGAAGCAGAGCTCTGTGGGTATCAGCAGTGCGGCATGGTTAAAAATTATGTCCCATCTGGCACAATATGAGATCATTGACGTGCATGTCCAGCCAGTGCTCAAAGTAGTCCCTTGACCATAAAACTGAACACCATTGCTAATGGTGCATCAGATATGCATGCCCTGGAGACAAAAGCTTTCAGGTTCAAATTGTTTACCGACTCCATCACACTAGACACGCACAACTAAGGTCCAGTTTAGACAACAACTCCGGGTTCAAAATTTCTGATTCAAACCGCACTGTGATGACCTGACTGCAGTTAATAAGCATCTATTATCTAATAACACAAAAGATACTCTAGTATCACCACAATGTCTGATAAATCAAGCGGCAGCTCTTCGCATTCCTTACGTTCCCTGGGGTACTATAGACGTGACATTGGCTGCTGCATCTTGTGGAACGACCAGGAAGGCTCCTGCAGTGTGGACAAAGGCAGAAGAAACTACCTTTCTTGAGTTCCTTCTGCAGGCCCTTCCTGCATCAGGCGATGGAGGCTTCAAGGCGCCCACCTTCAATCAAGCATATGCGCACCTCAAGATAAAACACCTGCATCAAAGGGGCACAGAAAAGGTTGGCACAGTTTGCAAAAATAAGTGGACATCGGTATGTTTCCAGTGAACTTTCAGCTGCCAGCAAATCAATAACATATATTTTTATAGTTAAAGAAAGCATACCAAAGTGTTGTTGAAATTAAGTGTACTTCTGGTTTTACTTGGAGCGATGATCATGGAGCGGGCATCATGGACAAAAAGGATGACGTATGGGCACACTTTATAAAGGTACGTCATTGCAAATAGACTGCATGCATACCCCTCTACTGACATTGTTTTCAGTCGCATCCTCACGCGAGGTCCTTCATGATGAAGGGCTTCAACCACTTTCGATATCATGCAGCAGTTGATGCCAAGCAAGTCAAAAGGCTCCCACATCTTCCAACCTACCACTGCCACCAATGCCAACACACTATCCTCCATCCCCCCAGCCACAGATAATGCACTTCCAGGGCTGCCACCATCCTCAGTGTACCTGCCAACCGCCATCCTCAGTGGACCGCCATCATCCAGTGACCTACCTTTCTCGCTCCTTCCACAGAAGGGATCTATCTCTGCCAGGTAGGCTCGGCATGGACAAGTATAAGCTGGGGAAAGCAAAAATGCAGCGCGCTTTCACCTGCGTCAGCTGCAGGCTCTCAGAAACGAGGCTGGCCACCATCTGCCATGCTATTGGCACAGCAGGAGGGCACCGAAATGATGAAAAGCCTCGTAGAAGTAGTACATGAGATGCAGAAGACTCTTGTATTAGCACTGGCACTGCCAGCCAGTGCAGCCACAGCCTCAGCCTTCCACTGCATGTTGGAAGCGCCATTTCCCTCCTCAATAAATATACAGACCTCATGAGCAAAGAGCACTTGGGCATTGCCAACTTTCTAGCTGAACACGAGAACCAGGCAATTATTTTCTACTTGTTGGATGAGGTGACGAGGCTTGAGTGGTTGGAAGAGAAGCGAGTCCTTTGCGGTGGTGCACCACGGCGATCAATTGACTCGCAAGAATATATGATTGTATCGTAGCGGCGTACAGATCATTTCATAGTACAAAATTTATGTATTACCTACAACTATGGCAATGGGAGTCCCCTTCATGCATGTTCTGCGAGATAGTCAGTCCACATTGCTTGTGCGATTCCGTCCCTACAAGCATCTGCACGTCTGCGCTCAGCAGCATCCACCGGTCCCTCTGAATGTGCGCCAGATCCAACACCATCATCCTCTGCATGATCATGCCTGTACTCGAGGGCAAGATCAAATATATCACCGTTGTTTCTTTGCATGAAGTTGTGAATGGCGCAAAGCGCCGCTGGGATCAATTAATAGACAGACAGACTAAAGAAAAAAGGAACTCACGCGAGATTAGCTTGACGCCATTCCTTCAGGTGGTAGCAGACACCTCGATAAGGCATGAGAAGTGTGTCGCAGGTCGCAGATAAACAAGCAGTTCTGCAATAAAAAGCCTTTCCTGTTGCGCAGGACAACATGGTCTTCAAGTGGGCAAAAACGTGGATGTGGGTGCCGTCAACAGCACTGATACAGTGGTCAAAGGATCGGAATCGAGGGTCAGCGTGAATTGCTGCAGAAAGTGGGGTGTTTTGGTCTGGGAAGCAGACGTTCGAGGTATAGAAGGGAGCCAATGAAAAGAACATGAGCAGGTGTTTAAAATATCTGCAGAAATCAGCACAACTTGAACAATAGTTATATCAAAAGTTAGGCACTTACCTTGTAATCGTATCAGGCGAGCACTGGAACCTTTCTCCAACATGGCGAGACAAAAGTCCAGTAACACACGTGTAGAGAAAAATACCGAGTTGCTCTGACACGCTTACCCCATTCCGGGACTGGACAAAGTTGTGTCGGTTAAGAACCACTAACAGCTCATCGAAAATTTGAAGGTTGACTCTGAAATTGTGTCTGATCCTGTCTGGAAGACCACTGATCAGTTCATATACCCATGCTTGCCCGGTAAGTATGGATGTGTGGTAAGGAATTCTTTCAGCGCGGGATAAGAATAAAAGATGGTATAGATGTGTGACCTGGGCGACCACAATGGTAATGATAATAACCACGATTTTGTGTCGTTGATCGTGTTGCATTTGCGCTTTAACATCCATGGCAGTGATGGATATGACACACATATATATGCTGATTATCTATCTATATACTTACATGGCATCTGGACCTATCACGTGCAATCATCATGTGCAGTTTGAATGAGAAATTTTGAACCCAGAGTCATTGTCCAAACTGGACCTAAGAGGATTTCAGTAACAGAGACATCTTTGGGTAGGAATTGACCGGACCTTTGGTGGAATATAGCAATGGGAAATAAAAGGAACTAGCGAGGCAGGAGTAGCGAAGGGAGACAGCTCAGATAGGACTGGGGAATGAGCAGACATAGGGAGGGATGAGAGGTTGAATTTTGTTGTGATATCAGTCACGAATAACTGGCTGATGAAAGTGTTGATAAGCACACAGTGGTACAGAGGAAAAGCAATATATAAAAAATAAACAAAGAACAAGATCCATGCATGTCACCTATGTAATCTGGGTTCTGATGCCAGCGAATAAAAATTATCAATGCAGCATACTAACATCTGCTGGCTGGATACCTTTCTTGTGCGACTTATGTCTCTCCAGCGTCCATCCTGTGGCAAAGATGGATTCAAGACCGACACGGCTATTGGGCATCATATGAGCTGGATGCAATAGTTAGGTGGATGAGTTGATTTGGCTGAGATCTCAGTTAGCACCCAGGCCCTTGAAAGATGACCCTATGGAGTTGAATGAAGAGGAAGATGATGTCCATTTTGGAGACATGTACGACAGTGTTTGGGATGAGATTCGTGTTGAAGAAGAAATGGCTGCTGAGTTCACTGACTACTTTCCAGGCACTGCAAAGACATATGGCATGGACTATACATTCCTGAGCCTGTTCAACACCGACGAAAATAGAGTCTACTGCAAAACAAACATGTACTATTTGTTTAGCTGTAAGCAAGAGTGGGAGATTGCATCATGGTTACTGGGTTCTGGTTTGAGTATGGGGAAGATAGATTTGTTCTTGTCAGTCGAGATGGTGAGGTATGCGAGTCAGCAAGTTTTGATCTCATGGCCTAACCAACATTCAGATTAGGGACCTTCCTTTGTCATTCTGCTGTGCCAAAGAGCTGCGAGGATGAGCAGAAATGTTAGCTAGTGGCCGATGTTGGATGTCATGAGTTCTTGATACATTGCATCCAATGAAATCACGTGTTATTCTGTACTGGTGTAATGCACTTGAGTGTATATCTGCCATTCTCAACCATCCTGTCTTCTATGATGAATTGGACTTCACACCTCGCAAGGTTTATTCTATGGTGCGAAAGCTCTGTTGTGCGTATACCGAATGGATAACAGGTGATGATGCATGGAACATGCATGTATGGCATCTTCAGGTAGTATATCTTTTACTGATTTTAAATAGTCACTGCTCCCCCAAGGGGCTACATTGCTCAGGACAATACTATGTTCAAACCAGACGAATATCTCAGTTCTGATGAGTGATCGCGTTGCACACCCACTCCTCATCAGCCTTGCAAATATTTACATGAACACCCAAGTTAAATCATCATCCAACTCTTTCATGCTCACTGCCCTACTGGCAGTTCGAAAGTTCCTTGATAAGAATAAGGGCTTGCATGGTGTATTGGGGGATTGCGTCATTCATCAATGGCTAGATATTGTGTTAAAAGCGCTTAAGGAGGCCACTGTACATGGCATAATGCTCTTGGATCCCATGAGACAGAGCGACTATTGTTTCACTCAACTTGCAAGTTATATTGTCGATACTCGCGAAGTGATGATGTTAGCCTGCGTTGGTGGAAAGACCTCTGCGGTCACCATGGGCATGTACAAACAATTTGGAGATTGCTTTCACTATGAATGTCGCACAGCATCAACCACTCTTGCACAAATATGTGTTGTTTGCACATGAGCTGATGCATGAGATCTACATGGGTTCTTTTGTGAAGCGCGAAAATTGCACTGGAACGGTGTCTTTGAGGCATTTTTGTGGGACTGGGTGGTTACAGATCCCTCACACCTGTTCAGACCTGAGACACTCCATGTGCTTGATAAGAAAATTTTGGATCACGACACAAAATGGGTAATGTTTGCTGTTGGGGAGTTGGAGATAGATTTACATTTTTCTGTTTTGCAAGCTGTCACGAGCTTTTGGGATTTTGCAGAAGGAATCTCAAAAGTCAAAGAGGTGACTGGTTGCTGTCAGCGAGACATCCAACATTCTATTGTTGCAGTTAGTGCAGATGCAGCACGGCATGGAGTTCTTGTTGAAAGATTGTGAAGGAGGCACTGTGATGGTATGGAGGACATTTTGATGGAGTATGACAAGAAGGAGGGAGAGTGATTGATGGGGCAGGGGTAGAGAGAAAGGTGAGGACTGGGGAAAATTTTTTTAGAGACATTGGGAGATGGAAAGGAGGATGTGGTGATGTGGAGACGAGTAGTTTGTTGTTCACTGGACAGAGTGGTAAGAGGTTGTGAGGAATTGAGGATATATGGGTGTTGTGTGGTTTGATACTGGTTATGAGATTTATGAAGAGAATTTAGTCAGTTTGATGATATATTGGTTTTGAAGTGGGGTGTTGTAATGCTTGCTAGGGTAAATAAAGATCATGATTGGCGATATTAGAAGTGTGTGCTCACTGAATTAGTAGTATATGAGTCTGTTGTGGCAAAGGTATGTATTGAGGTGGAATACAGACTCAGGGTGTGTAACTTGTATGTTTGTAGGTTAAAGGTCATTGGTCACTGTTGCCTCTTGATTGCCAACATTTTGTAAGTGCTGTTATTAACGACACCCTCCTTTCATACACGACATAGTGAACAACGCCTTCTTTGTATGATCCATGAAGATCTTCATCTCTGCTTCAAACATTACATGGACCTGCTACTACCATTGTTTAAAAAGAAATGATGACCTTAGCACCACTGAAACCATCAGGGCAAGATAAGAGTGTGTTATCAGACTTTGAGCCACTGGACATAACAGGGGTTGGTGGTTTAGGGGCTCAAATTGGTAATTGAAATAGTTATTGGAAGGAAAGGTTGAGGGATTTCAGAAAAAGAGTTGAATAGAATGATAAGAGTCCTCCAAAACAGGAGAATGCACCCTAGTATTTGATTTGAATGTGGTGAGGATGGAGGTGAAAACATTAGGAAATGGTCTCAGGTGGGTGAATGAGTACTGTGCTACTATCAGAGAGAGAAGTACTAAGGCAAGACAACAAACAACAACCACAATAACTATCAAAACAGATGGGCATAAGACTAAAGAAGAGAAAAGGAGAAACAAATCTGTGTGCTGATTCGTAGGAAACACCAAAAAGAAAACTTAAAACTTTGTGTATAACAATTTTGCATTAGGTATCAAAACTTTTGGAGAGATTGGAAGTGGCCCTTGAAAGCAGCAACTGTGTGCTCTACCTGCACACAGACCTAAGTATAGATATATATATAAATAGATGAGGAAAAATAAAATAATACACATACTTTAGAAAAAGGGGTGTTAAATTCTTCTGGTCACTAGTTCAAGGAGGTTTCTTGAAAGGGGGTAAGCACTATCTGTCTAAATCCAATAGTTATTCCTAAGAAGTGTTATATGATTTTTGAAAATGTGAGTGTATTGGAATGCAAATGCATCATGTGCACTGTCAGTGTGGCCAATAGAATGATCTGCAATAATGAGTGTTAACAATTTTGAGTGGGCCCAAATAGCTGGTACTTTGTATATATGATTAGGCCTGGATCATGTATTTGCATGACCGGGTGGGCCCACATAGTGATCCGCCATGATGTGCACCGGCAAGGGGATAACTATGAGACTATTTTTGCCAGAGATCATCACAGCTTACCAGGATTCCAACATGTCATGGCCAAATTTTCATTTTACCAGTTTATACCCCTATAAATGATTTACAGCTGAATGTTGATCAAAGTACTTAATAATAGTTGTCCAGCATGATGTGGACCAGCGCGGGCATAGCTATGAGACTACCCTCATCGGAGATCATCACCACCCACCATGATTCCAACATTTCATGGATAATTTGTCATTTTACCCCTATGAACAATGCCTAAGTAAATATTAATGTCTGTACTTAATCACAGGGTCTGGCATGCTGTGGAATGGCAAGGTGATAGCTATGAGACCATCCTCACCAGAGGTCATCACATTCCACCAGGAATCTAACATTTCATGGCTGATTTTGAGACTACCCTCGCCGGAGATCATCACCACCTGCTGGGATTCCAACATTTTATGGTTAATTTTTCATTTTACCCCTATGCACAATTCCGAAGCAAATATTGATGTCTGTACTTAATCACAGCAGTCCGGTGTGATGTGGACCAGCGAGGGCATAGCTATGAGAGTATTCTTGCCAGAGGTCATCACAGCTCGCCGGGATTCCAACATTTCATGGCTAATTTGTCATTTTACCAGTTTTACCATTATGAACAATTCCCAAGTAAATATTAATGTCTGTGCTCAATAACAGTGGTCCAGAGTGATGCGGACCAGCAAGGGGATAGCTATGAGACCATCCCCGCCAGAGGTCATCACATTCCACTGGGATTCTGACATCTCATGGCTGATTTTTCATTTTACTAGTTTTTCCCCCTATTGGTGATTTAGATTTACAGCTGAATATTGATGAATATGTCTCATAATAGTGGTCTGCTGTGATGTGGACCAATGAAGGGATAGCTGTGAGACTACCCTTGCCGGCGATCATCACCTCCCGCCATGATTCCAACATTTCATTGCTGATTGTTCATTTTACCAGTTTTCACCTCTATAAACAGTTACCCTCGCCTCGCCGGAGGTCATTACATTCTGCCGGGATTCTAACATTTCATGGCTGATTTTTCATTTTACCAGTTTTTACCCTTATGAGTGATTTACAGCTGAATGTTGATAAATGTATTTAATCATAGTGGTCCAACACAATGTCATCTGGTGAGAAGATAGCCAGGAGACCATCCACACTGGCGGTCACCACATTCACCTATGAATCCCATATTTCATGACCCTCATGAAGGAGTCCCTAGTCAATATTGATGTCTGTTTCTAGACACCAGGTTTGCTGGCTTGCCCAGAATCCTTACTTTATATATGCATACCTATCACTCATATGGTGTGGTAATTATAACTCTCGCACACATGATCCTTTGCTTCCTTTTTACTGATTATTCAATGTAAAGTACAAGAAATTGAGATATTCTCGGATACAAAGGAATATGTGATAACTAGTGGTGTGTCTGCTGACTCTGCTCTTCGACATAGTCCCTGGTTGGTATAGAACATGTTGAGCCAATATTACTTAGTAGATTCAATCCCATGCACAGTGTCTATCATGCAAGTTCAATGATACTTATTATATACATCAAAGGTTACCTTTGAATCAACCATTTGTATGTGGTCTAAATAGATAAAATGATATATCAGCCATGAAATGGTGGACAACCAGCATAATATGATAACCACTGGTGGGTCCTAGTTTCATAGTGATTCCCACAATATAGCAGTCCAATATGACTTACTGCTTGACTTGATATTCACCTATGGATAAAATATGATGGTAAAATGGAAAACCAGCCATAGAATGTTAGGATCATGACCTCCAGTGAGGATAATCTCCTGGCTATCTGAACAACTATGATCAAGTATAGACATCAATGTTGACTTGGGACTCAGTCATGAGGGTAAAAACTGGTAAAATGAAAATTAGCCATGAAATGTTTGCATTCCGGCAGAATGTGATGATCTCTGGCAAGGGTAGTCTCATAGCTAACCCCTTGCCGGTCCACATCATGCCAGACCACTGTTATTCAGTACAGACATTAATATTTACTTGAGAATCGTTCATAGGGGTAAAAGGAAAAATAAATGTTGAAATCATGGCGGAATGTGATGACCACCAGTGAGGATAGTCTCATAGCTATCCCCTTGCAAGTCCATAGCACACTGGACAACTATTATTAAGTACTTTGATCAACATTCAGCTGTAAATCATTCATAGGGGTATAAACTGGCGAAATGAAAAATTGGCCATGATATGTTGGAATCCCGGCGGAATGTGATGACCACCAGCGAGGGTAGTCACATAGCTATCCCCTTGCTGGTACACATCATGACAGACCACTATAATTAGGCATATTAATCAACATTCAGCTGTAAATCATCAATAGGGGTAAAAACCAGTAAAATAAAAAATCAGCCATGAAATGTTGGAATCCTGGCAGAATGTGATGACCTCCAGCAGGGACGGTCTCATATCTATCCCCTCGCCGGTTCACATCACACCAGATCACTATCATTAAGTACAGACATCAATATTGACGTGGGAATCATTCTTAGGGGTAAAACCGGTAAAATGACAAATTAGCCATAAAATGTTGGAATTCTGGTGAGCTGTGATGATCTCTGGTGAGGATAGTCTCATAGCTATCCCCTCGCTGGTCCACATCACACTAGACCACTATTATCAAGTGCATTCATCAAATTTCAGCTGTACATCACTCATAAGGGTAAAACCCAGTAAAATGACAAATTAGCCATAGAATGTTGGAATCCCGGTGAGCTGTGATGATCTCCGGCAAAACTAGTCTCATATTTATCTTCTTTCTGGCGCACATCATGGCGGATCACTATGTGGGCCCACCCAGTCATGCAAATACATGACCCAGGTCTAATCATATATACAAAGTACCAGCCATTTGGGCCCACTCAAAGTTGTTAACAAATACTTTGTTGCTGTTCCATAGGCCCACCTATACATACATTAGACTTCAACATAAGCTCTCTCCAAAGTTTGGAAGAATGTGTGCTGTGGGCCCACTCATAACCATTAGATACACACTGTATGCAGGCCCACCCAAAGGCATTGATATACAATGATAAAGTGGGCCCATGGTGGGCTGGCCCATGTCACATGGGAAAAATGTCAAGGTGGGGTGACCATGTTTACAGGGTTAGGTCACTGAAGGGGCTCATAATAATCATAAAATCTTGGACCTTGATAAAGTGTAATGGTAAATGTATTGGCCACCTGTTTTGAGAAATGCCAGAAATGTTCAAAACAAGGGGGGTGCATGTGCACATTTTGAGACATGGTGGAAATGTGTGAAACAAGGCAGGTGCATTTGCACATTTTGAGGCATGCCAAAAATATAGACAACAAGAGAGGTTGTCATATCCCATATTCCGGACCTACATCTGACAATATTCCCACGCCTCATCCGTTCCTCCATTCCCTATTCTGCTTCAGACTTTGTCCTTGC